CAATTTTATTTTAATGTCTAGTACAAAACAAAAATTCATAACACAATATTGTTTTTCAACAATGATTTTCTTTAATTTTACAATGTATATACGAGTTAAACAACTAAGTATCAGTTCAAATTTATACATCTATACAAATAAGCATGTTTATGCTCAATTGAAATAAGAGAAATACATTTCATAATAACCACAAACAAGCACTTAGTATAATTAATTTAACTTAAATTGTCATTTGTCCACCAGTAAAAATCTAACAACATTGCCATGAATTATTTTATTTCATTGGTACAGTAAAAATATTTTTAATTTAGAACTTATACTGGCCATAATTGTTTTTATTTAGTTTTTACACAAATCCTTAAGTAATCAGATAAATTTATGTGTGCCATTAAAAAATCACACCTAATACTGTAGAAGAGGAAAATGTCCCATTTTTGAGTCTACTTATTAAAAATACACTTTTCTATTAGTTTAATTAAAATCACCTAAGCTACTCATTATCTTGGAAAGCTATTTACGAAAAATTATCTATATACAAGCTTTTTTATAACTGCAGTTGCACAGTTGACCCCAATTCTGAGTTTACGACTAACTAAATTCAACTCTGTGGCCTTGTAATAGTAAGCCCAAACCAGATGACAACGGAACTCATGGATCAAGCATAGGGACCAACTAACTTTCATCCTGGGCGTTCTAAGAGAATTAACCCACATTTGTGTTACGTGGGGAGAAAGACCACGAGAACCTCCATGACGGCAAAAAGATTTCAACCCATAGTCTGTCTACCATAAAGGATATTTTACATCAACACTGTGGTTGGAGCAAACTGTGAGCAGAATTCATATCAACCAGCCACTGCTGAGATTCAAACCTGAATCACTTCATTTGAAGGCAAACTTTCTATTCCCTGAGCCATAAGCTCTTTTATAAAAGAAAGAGTGAAAATACTGAGTATTAAGCAATATTTCATGAAAATTTATTTTCAATATTTTTTTTATACCTGCTATGCTGCATTATATTTATGAACTAATAAGGTTTAATTTAACACTTCAATTTTTCAATTATTTTTTAATTATCCAAATTTGTTTTGTTATGTGTCATTATAATTCCATACATTGTAGGTTTGATGAATATCATTCGTATTGTTTTTAGTTTAGTTGAAATTATATTGCATTTTGTATATTATAGTGTCAGAGAGTAAAGTGGCCCCTTTGGATTTATATGAACAACAGTTGCCCGAACGGCTGCAAGCAATCAAGTGGGCACATTTTCCTGAACGTATACCACCCAGTTTTAAAAAAGCACGTCCTACAAAGAGATGCTACGTGTGTTCAAGAAATAATAAAAGAAGTGAAACTATCTGGCATTGCAAAAAGTGCCTAATACCTCTGCATTTACCAGAATGTTTTGAAAAATTTCATACATTGGAGGATTATTGAATAATTATTATAAGAAAAATTTTAGCTCTCCATTTCTTAAGCTTTTATAATTTGTTGTTTAAAAATTTATTGCTGCCAATTTTTACACTTTTTGAGGAAGATTTTTCCGAGTAGTCAAGAAATTTAAGTTTTACTTTTAATAAGGCTAGATTGGTAAATTTGATTTAAAGATATTAAGTCCAGTTTTTAAACTCCAGCCGCCATAGATTTAATACCATGGAGAACCCAAAATTTTCTGATTTCACCCCCGCCTTAACACAAATTTTGAAAAATACCTTTGATGTAGTACAAAGCAAAGATAGTGCTAGTGCAGAACAAAAAATACATAAAATTACTTTGTTAAGTTTGAAAATGTTATGGACAACTGGTAGAACCTGGAATTGTCTGGGAATTTTATTTTTATTCCAAAAATCAGGGAATGTTACATTTTCTTTTACAGAAACTTGGAAAATTCCTATATCACACCTAGAAAGTAACCAATCTTAGAAATGTCTGTAACAGTAATCAGCTATTGAGGTTCAAGTTAAATAATTCTAACATCTATTAGAATTATTTGTTCTAAAAATTTCACATTTTAGTCAAATTGACATATTCTATCCTCATTCAATGATTTTTTTTTACTTACAAAACTTAATGTTTGGCACTTCTAATAAATAAGATCAAAGTTTTGTGATGAAAAGTTGTTTGGTATAGATAAAATATGGGCTGAATTTACATTGAAGTTTACCTGATATGCCTGGAAAAGTCTGGAAGTTTTTTCTCAGAAGTTGAGCGGGAATTTTATGGAACAAAAACTTACCATGTGTTTATAAATTTAACCAAACTATTGAACTTCAGTTACACTATAGCTAAACCTGACTGATTTTTACTGACTATCTTTTGGTAAAATCTTCTACTATAAGTATAAAACTTTGCAGCTTGACAATTTTTTATTACAAATTTTCTAGTTATCAATGCTCTTTACATTTGCATATCCTGTACCTTCAAGGTATTTATTGCATGCTTAAAATTAAGGGGAAAATATAAGCACCAGATTTGCTTTGTTTTCTAACAGTTCATTTTTTTATTGTTTACTCTTACTGTTCTACCATACAAGAATTTTTACTTAATAGTTTGCACATTATTTATGAAATTGTATGTGCAATATTCAAAACATTCTAAATTTGTTTTTCACAAAACTGTTTTTTTCTCCTTAGTTTTATATTAAAAGGCTCTCTTGCTAGTTAATTTATGTGAATGAAGTAATTTGTAAACATTATGAAATTTTCTATATGAATGTGCATAAAACGTTTTTATTTTCTTACAGTTTTTAATGAAATTCTATTTTTTTTGGATGAAAGAAATACAATTATCTCCCATTCTTGCTAGGTTATTAGAAATGCATTTTTTTTCAAGCTTAAAAAATCAAGTAATTTTTCAAGAAGTCTTTTGGTTTTAATGATTCCTCTAGACGCAGGGAACTACGTCTTTAGGACCCAGTGTTTCCAAATTTCTGGATCCCTTTTAATAAAAAGCGGTCCCTATTATTTGAAATATAATATGAATATTCTTCATCTCAATTAATATGCACATTCTATCTTTTGAGAGACAAAAAAAGAAAGAGCAATCAAGGCTTTTTTTATAAGGACTGATCCAGCACCTGCCTCAAGGAAAAACAGCAATGTAATAACATAGTNAATTTTTACCTGGAAAAATCAGGGAAATTTGAAATCTGTTTTGAGTGGCCACCCTGAATAAGATACTCAGAATTGTTCTATTTATCTTTGAGCCACTAATAAAGAAGACAAGAATTTTTTTTATATGCTTAAAGTTTTCTTATAATTTTGCCTCAATCTATCTTTTTCCGCTCTTGAGAATTAAATGGCCCTTAAGATGCATGAATAATGAATATTTTGCATCGCCTCCACAATTTTTGACATATTTTAATGAGTTATAGTGTGTAAGCTAAATCACATTGCTTGAGCTGTGATGGCTTAGTGGATGGAGTGTTCGCTTTCCCAGGAGTCAAACCGGGTTCGAATCCTACAGATGGCTGGTCGATACAAATTCCGTATCTGGCTTGCAACAACCACGGTGCTGACGTAAAATATCCTCAGTCATAGACGGATCGTGGGATAAAGTCCCATTGGCATAAGGCTAACTGTGGTAGGTTTTCGTAGTTTTAATCTCCATGTAATGCTAATGTGAGTGAGTTCCATCAAAAAAGTCCTCCACGAAGGCAAATTTCTCCAAATACTTGACCCAGGAGTTCCTTGTCTTCTGTATTGCATTCAAAATTTCAAGGCATTGTGAGTCAAACATTAGTAGTCGTAAACCCAAAATTGGGTTGACTGTTCAACGAAGCTTATAAAATAAAATGAAATCACAGGGATGAAATTTTCTTCTTAAAAATATTTAGTATTATGTGCTTTAAACAAAACAAAAATAATTGTTTTAGAAAGTCAATATGCTTATTAAGGGTTAAAATATTTTTTTTATCTCTTAAATACTAAAAGTGCCTTCAAAATCAAACTCTCTCTTTTACATTGTTATGGAGGTTATATTCAGCTCATTATTATAAAAACCAAGCATTGTGAACTGACTACCTTGTTCATGTAGGCATCCAATATTGTTCTCCAACTATTCAATGTTAAAATGAGAAAAACTTGCTTTATGTACAGAAACATAAGCTGTTTTGGGGTTAAGCTGAGGCATTAAATTTCTGTTAAAATTAGTGTTTTCTCATATGATGAACTGATTGCAGCAGTGATTTAAACTGTCAGGTTTGTCGAGTGTTATTTCATGTTTTTATTCTTGTTTTGAGTAAATGTTCAATTTGGATTTATCTGAAAATTAAATAAAGAAATTATATGCCTTGACTTAAATTAATTTTTTGAATTGCTTGTACAATATGGATCTGTTTTGATACTTTTTATGATTAAGCTTCTACAAGATATGCAACTAAATTCTCAATAATTAACTTATTTGTTTCAGTCAATAATATTATGTGATTGATTTTAATTGAGTGATAAGCGTTTATTGTTTCTTATTGTGTCACCAATTTGCTAAAAAATGAACCAATGTGCTAGGAACACTACAATAATAATAGACAAACTGTTACATTTTTAGTTAAATGAGATAAAAATTTGATGTAATTATTGCACCCATAAATAGTAAACGAAATTGAAAGGGGGTATTTGAATGAGAAAAATAATATTTCTGAAACTCATATTTAATAGTTTTTCGTAAATATGTACCCTTTGCTATTTATCTCACTGTTTGTTAGACTCCTCAGGAAACATTTTATAAGTTTAGGTAAATGCTATTTACTCCCCCGTCGCACTGGCCTAACATTTTATCTATGAATTAAATTTTTTTAAATTGATGTCATTTTTGTTTTTAAATTAACTTTTTTAAGGCTATAATTTTTTTAAGGTAACTGTCTTAGAGATTGTCTTCCATGTAAGAAAGAAAAATCTGTAAATAGTTTATTTTCAGATTGAGTTTTACAGTTCATTTATTATTTATTATATTTTAATGATATATTCATTTTTAAAATGAGTGGTAGAATGAGTTGTCAACTTAAAATTGCTTTATGCTTGGGAAATGATTTGGTAAAACTGCTGTTCTAAATTATTTATATTCATTTTAAGTGTTGTAAAGATTCCTAATTCTCTTTGAGTTAACTGAAGTTTCATTTGTTTTAATGAAAAAATATTTTTCCAGGAATTATGTTAGCCAAACAGTGAATTATGTAGAAAATTTAAAGGAATTGTTTTGATTTCAAAAGGGTTTAAATTTTTTAATCTGATTTCTCTTTGATTGTCAAATGTTAATGTGTGTGGCAATATGTTGTCTAACATTTTTTGAATCTTGAAGATTTCTTCCTTTTTAAGCACAATAATGCTGCTTAAAGATTTTTAATGTATTCCTTAATGATTTTGTGTGTTGTGTATTTGTTTAGAATGAAATCATTTGTGCAAAATATTATTTATTTTTCTTCTTTATAGGTCCAACCCTTTCAAATGTTCAAAAACTTTATGCATTTAAGAAGAAAACTTCATTTACTGATGATCTGAAACTCTCCAATTTATATACTTGTCCCTATTGCCAATACATTACTGGAAGCCGTTGCAACTTAGAGAAACATGTCCGGAAACACACAGGAGAGCGTCCATTTAAATGCAAATTTTGTGGTAAAGGTTTTACTCAAAAAGAAAATATGAAACGCCATATGATCAGCCACCATGTACAACCATAGTCTCTGCTTTTGGTTTTTATGGATATACTATCTTCAGAAAATTTTCTATACTGTGTAAATTCTTTTAATGATCTTAGAATTAACACACTTAGGGAACATATAAAAAGTGATTATTGCATAGTTAGCAAGTATGTGAATATCTGTGTTTGTGTTTATTTATCAGTATCCTTTAATAATTTGAGTAATCAGATAAAGTAATTTCAATGTAATTTTCAATATTTGTTCTGCAAAAAAAAATTTATAGTTTTAAATTATGTAAATTCATAAGAGTAGTGGTTAAAAATTTGGCTGTTATTCCATGTGTATGATTCTATGACTAAGAAGATATACACTCATTTCATTCGCTACATATTAAAAATATTTTAAGTTTGTTTGTTAAACTAGTTTTAGTTTGAAGGCTTTCAGAAGAAACAAGGATGTCAAATCATTTTCTAAGAAAATGTATTTTGCAAGACATATATATGAATTTCCTCAAATATCAACATTTTTTTTTCTCTTTGGAACATAAATAATTTTCTTTAAAAGAGATTTGTATTATAAATTATAGCTTTGACTGCCCTAAAGTCAATGTAAAGACATACTTGTTTAAAAGCACACAAAAGATGTATAAGAAATAAAGTAATAGAATTAATAATTAAAAGAAAATTTTGTGTACCTGATCTTTGCAAAGATTGAACCTCTCTAAATTTAATGTATTTATTTTTGAACTCTGAAGGAATAAGGAATTAAAACAGAAAAAGTGTCTTAAGTATAAATAGTTATTTAAATGACATTTTAAGCAAGATAATTCACATTGAGTTTTTTGAGTAATTTTTCTCCTTGATTGTATTATCTAGAGCTAACACATAATAATTTGATGAAGGTAGCGTTCTATTTGATAATAGTGTTAAATAAGTACCTGCTTTTACCTAATTATGAGTACATATTATTTTACAGTTATATTTATGGCTTAGTTTTTCAAATGCTACTACTTGTTTCTCAAAACAATAATATGAACTCAAAACTCTAAATTGTGTTCCTTTTTTACTTGTACAATGTACTTTACTTATAACTTTATACATATTTAATTTATGAAATACAAAAATATTTATATATTTTTTAATTTATACTTCTTGTGTGTATTCAAGGGATATTGCAAAAATAGTTTTATGCTTTTCATTATTGCTGTATATTGCCAACTAAATAGAGGAAGAATAAAATAAAACATTGTGTCTGAATTACTTATGTTTTGTTTTATTTCTTAGAAAAATAGTTTGAATTTGAATTTTGGAAGCTTTTTTAAGTTGTTTGGTTAGTTTTTAATTATCAACATAATTGTTTTTTTAATTAATATTAAATTTAGTTGTTACGACTATTATTGTTTTAAAATTCAAAAGAAATGTAACTTGAGTTTACCAAATAAAGTTTTAAAAAAATGAAATTTTGTTGGAAAATTAAACTTAATAACTGTGTCCTTAAGTATCAAAATTTATTGATTTAATTACAAAATTAAGCTATTTATTATTGATTAGTTTGACTGATTGTTCTAGATTTTTTAATGTAATAAAATTTTCTGACTAGTCTTGGCTAGGGTACATGATAAAACTAATATTACACATTTGATTGAAAACTGACTCACAAAGCTGTTTATTGTTTATATTTTGAAATATTATGTATGCTTGAATTTAAAAATTAACTATTTTTATAAGGATTTATGTTAATTTTTTAAAAATTGAATTTAGTTTTGTGAAAACTCAAAATTTTATTTCTTGATGGAAATAACATTTTCACCGAGAAAATGCAATTTTTTAATGATATTTGAAATAATTTAGAGCATTTTTTATCTATATTTTAATTGTTTATTCTTCAGCGCTGGCAAGAAAAAATTCCTCTTGCACTTGTAATTGTGTTGACTATTTTTATAAAAGCTTATTTTAATTTTTACAAAATTGAATTGAGTTTTGGGAAAACTCAAATTTTTCTTTTTCTTAATGAAATGCTATTCTCTTAATGATTGAAATTCGATATTGTATTTTACAAGGTATTATGCAAGTATGCTTTAAATTATTTTTTCCTATTGTCATATAATCAAGCTTTGTTGAAATTTTTTAAAACATTGTATTTATTTTTTAATTATTTTTCTTTATATTTCATTTTTCAATTGAATTTGCATTACTGACAAAATTAGTCATAAATTTAACGAATAATTTTTTTTTTCAAAAAGATTTTTCAAAATATAATGCAAAATTGCTTACCATTCTCAATATCTTTGAAATTTCATTCAAGTTTATTGATTAGTTAATATTAACTTCCTTTTGTAGGTGGATATCGTTCTCCGTCAAATGGAAAAGTATTACAAAATGACCAGTCAACTACAAATTTCCCCTCATATTTGTACTCTCACAGATGCCCATACTGTAATCGTATATCAACCAGCAAGAGTAATTTAATGGCCCATATACGAACTCACACTGGAGAGCGACCATTTGTATGTACTTTCTGTCCTAAAAGTTTTGCAAAGAAGGAAAATTTAAAAAGACATATTATTTCCCATAGAGTTTTTTGAAATCCTTAACTATATAATCGAAAGACTTAAGCAGACATTTTTACTTATTTTCTGTCATGAAGATTTTGCAATTAAAAAATAATTCAAAAGGACTATATATTTAAAAGACTACATTTTCCTGACTGTAATCATTAGTTACTTCACAGATGTGCAAGCATAACCATTAAGTTATAATGTAAATCATATTGTTATTTATGTCATTCGTATTCTTTTTATAACATCTTATATACTTTTTTTTCTGTATGTCGATGATAAAAATTTACAATTGGTTGCCCCTCTTATTTTGACAATATTTCATGATCTTACAGGGAAAATGACTTAAAAACTGGGATTTTCTATTAACAAGAAAATGTGATGAATATAATTCCCCCAATTCTACACTCTCAACTGGAATATTGCTTTAATAAGAAAATGGTTTATTTTTAAAGTTTTTTTTTATTAAAGTGCATTGTGCGCACAAAATTTAAACCATATATTCTCATCGCTAACCCATCCTAAAAGATGTCATGAAAGTTATTTAGAAACCAAAAATTACACAATTGCAGCTGCGCCTTAAGTGCTTAAGATTGTAAATATGCATAATGTAGTAATATTTTCACATTCATTTGAAACTTTTGCTGGAAATTTTAAGAAGCATTAAAATTTTGCATGTGTGACCAAGATATTTCTTGTCGTCACCTTGTAATATTACTTTAAAAGATTTGTTCTGAAAATGTTTTTAATTATTGTAAATTTTTTTGGTAAACTTTTATAGAGGTGCAATTGAAAAAGATCTTAAAATTTTCAGTCAGCAACAAAACCGGTTTCTCTTATCCCCCCTGAAATCATATAATATCTTGCGAGAATAATTTGATATCTCATACTCATATTAGAAGCCGACCATTTTCAGGGCTGATTGTACTCGGGAAAAATCAGGATTTCCAGATTTTTCGCTAACAGTAATCCGGAAGTTTTCGGGGATCGAAGGTCCAGGTGTTTCAAAAAATCATTGTTCACAGAAGGTTCCGGAAATCAAATTTTCAAAGGTGGAACTTAAAAACACAGCTTATTTTATTTGTTTGTAAAGGGAGAGCCAGAGAGATACTTTATAAGCTTATATTCATGATTAATATTCATTTTTTATCAGTAAATAGTTATTATAATCGTAAACTCAAGAAAAAAAGACATATTTGTAAAATTTAATTACTTCTGCAGGTCATCATAGGTATGTGTAAATGGTATAGGTATATGTAAAATTTTAAATATATTTTAAGTAAACTAAGAAATATTGAGAAAAAGGAAGAAAAGCTTGTTTAAATTTTTTTCAATTTAACTGTTTGTTTTCTGTAACTCAAGAAATTTTCCGGAATTTTAATTTGGGCTCACAATCAACCCTGAGCATTTGTCATAGAAGTTATATAAAAAGAGGTCATTTGAAAAGGCATTTCCGGAGTTATGAAATCGTAAAGAACTTTTGCTGCAGCACAATTTTGAAAACACTATTGTTATCCATGTAATTTTACCAAATATTTATTGGTACATATATCTGATACAATTATGAAAAAAAGTCTAGCGCAATGTTGCATTATAATTTTTGTTTTTACCTTGAAGTGTTGAGGAAACGATCCTTTTAATAAGACTTTATTCAATATTTTTGCCCAATCTTCACAACAAATGTTTGGTATGAAATGTTTTGGATTGTAGAATTGCTTTCCACGTATTGAAATAGCAATAAAATAGCTTTAAGAACCCAGTCAGAAACATCTATGTTGAAGCTAAAACTAATAAAATAATAATTTTTCATTAATTACAATAACAGTGTTAGAATTTTTTTTTATTAAGTTTACGTTATTCATATATTTTTCTTTTTGTTAATATTTTTTGCAAATTAGTTTAAATATTATTATATTGATATTTTGTAAAAGTATGGCTTGTAAAAGAGTTTAACTTTTAAATAATTTGTTTTTCTATTTCAACTGTAATAAGTGCCAAAAATTTCCTTAAAATAATATCCAAGGTTCTATGATTTATATTTTTCTGTATAGCCAAAAGAAAGGGATTTTTTTTTTTCATTATAAATATAAAATGTATGTGAAATATTGTACTGTTTTTTTTTTTTTTTTAAAACTCCTATTGGTACAACTTTATTTGATAACATGTGTTAAATATATTATATAAATATTAAATTAGAAAAAAAATGGGCCACTACTCTTCTTGTGTTCAAAGATTATTTGTATTTATAGGTTGGTTGGCCAGTATTGTCATCACATCTTCATTAAGAAAAAATTATTGTAGCTCCCAGCAGACCTATTATTGTAGCTCCAATGCAATTTTAGCAATTCAAAGATTTCTAAGCTACAATTTTATCTTTGCTCCACAAATGTCCTGCAAGAATTAGCACTGGTTGTTTACGATAGGTTAGGGCTCACATATTTCAGGGAAAACCTGGAATTGTCATGGAATTTATTTCCAAAAATCCGGGGAAGTTGCATTTTTTTATTTAAAAAAAACCTGGAAAACTCTTACTTGGAAATTAATTACTCTTAGAATTTTCTGTTACAATAATCAGTTATTGAGATTCAAATTAAATAATTCTAACATCTATTACAATTATTTGTTATAAAAATGTCACATATTAGTCAAACTGGCATGTTTTCATCCCCTTTAAATGATATTTCTTTTGCTTGACCCTTTAATAGAATAATATAAGTTAACCCTTTGTATATTTAATATATAAGTTAACCCTTTAATAGTTGAATCCCTTCTACCTGTATGCCCCTTTTGTGTGTGTATAAAGTTTTGTTGAAATTTTGTCTACATAAATCTGGCAGTTACCTTTTTTTATCCTTTTTCTCCATTGTAGAGCTATGCGTCCTGGGGGTCACGTCTTCACTTATTTTTTGCATCTCCTCTGCAATTATTAGTGTATATAGCGCATTATGGCATGTAAAGGGAATAGGGTCTGCCCAGGGAAAAACTTGGTTAACAACACAGCTTCCCTGAACCTTATTTGGTAAAAAATTATGCAACATTATAATGGTCTGAGCTATATTGCTGCCAAGGTAGACACTTTCCAAAGTTCTATTTTAGATGATTTCGTTATTTTTCAGAAAATTAAGGATGACCTGCAACACGCTAAAAAATAAGTTTTTTGCATCTAGAAAAAAAAACTATGTTTTTTTATTTTCTATGAGATATTAATAAGTTTTATTATAGTAGGGATATTATATTTATTATTTTAACTGACTGGAATTATGCTTAATTTCTAACAAAGTTTTCTAACAATTTTGAAAGGAAAAATTTACATTTTGTAAGTATGGATAAATTATAATTTGCTCTCTTTTTTCTTTTTTTTTGTTTGTTTGCTGTTTTTTTTTCTTTTTTCATCTATATAATTCTTGATTAATTTTTCTTTTCCTTCTAGTTTCTGGAAACAATGCGTGGATATTTAAAAAAGTCTTATCCAGTGTAAAGTTGCAACAGGCCCATAAACAATTCTCTTGTTCTTACTGTGGATATATTGCTAGTCGTAGAGGTAATCTTGAGAAGCATATAAGAAAGCATACTGGTGAACGCCCTTTTGAATGCAAAGTCTGTTACAAAGGGTTTACACAGAAAGAAAATCTAAAGAGGCATCAAATTTCTCACATTAATTTATAATCTATTCAAAGAAGCACAGAATAGAAAGTAAATGAAAAGTGACATGTTCAATAATTATAAATGAATAATGCTGACTCACCGCAATTTATCAATTAAACAAAAAAAATTTGGCTTAGTGCCCAATAACTGTTGATGATTTATTTAATTAATATTTACTTATCCAAATTTATATTTTATATCTATGTATCTTTAAAGGAAAGAAGAAGAAAATCAAAAATAAGCAAAATACAAGTTGTGTTTGAAAAATTCTGTGAATGGTCTCATAAAATAAATAAGAGACCAAAACAAGATAACTGGTATTTTAAATAATCACCACAAGCTAGAATACACATTTGATATCAATTATGCTAGTGGTGGTAACTATGAGCAATTGCTTATTTTAGCATTGCTCAAAGCACCATTGTCATATTTAGCAGCTGTCTAAAGCTTATAAATCACTCAAAAACAATTTATTCACTGCTTTCTCGCTTTCATTAACGTTTTGCCTTATTTGAAGCCAAAGTTGATATTCTATTCTTCATGAAATGTCTTATCACACTAATTGTCCTTAATCGGTCAGTGTTCTTTTCTGCTTAACTGTCATGATTTGGTCTCTAAGAAATGCTAATTACAACTTCCCAACCCAGCTATTCAACTATAAGATCATTCATTGAACTTTTTTCCAGCAACTTGTAGTTGTAGTATTATTCTAAATTATACTAACCTTAATCTAAATTTATAACTTTTGTAATAAAACAAGAAATAGAAAACGTTAAAAAAATGTTTTAATATTTTGCCAAATAATTATGTATTTAAAATAAGAATATTTTAAACTTTGAATCCTTGGTAATCCAAATGTTTATTATAAGAGACACACTGCCATTTTATAGTTTGTCTTTAGAAAAAACTCCCTAACCACAGAGTTTTAGGCCACTTGCTGCTATGGAAACAAAAAATAGTGTATTTCAAAAGGGAGCTTCTCTCTTCTTTTATTTCTTTCTCTCTGCAACCTGTACCAAAACCTCTCAAATATTGACCGAACACCCCTCATCATAATAGAACCTAATCATAATTATTAAAAAATAGTTAAACGTCATAACCATAGTCACCATCACTGCTCCAGATAAATGGCGAGGGAAGTTCTTTCTAAGAACAGACTATACCTGTATTTGAATCATTGTTTATAAAATTCAATTTACCAATTGCATTTTATAAATCAAATATTTACCTATTGAACTACTTTCTTACACATGTTGATTATATTTCTTACGGTCTTCAGTTGTATTTCTTATCATATATATATGTATAAATACTTCAATTATTGTTACACTGTTATTAGTAAAAGTTAATAAATTTATTTATTATTCTTGTTTTGATTCTGTAAATAAATTTCTAAATAAAAACTGTTCAAAATGTAGCTAAAAATTTTGTAGGTTTACAGTCAAAAGTGATTAAATCGATTATTGGTAAAAACTGGAGTTGAGCTTTTAAATGCCAATTAACTTTTTTTTATAACCTTCATTGAACAGCCGACCTGATTTTATGGTTTTAAGGGCTACTAATGTTCACCTCAGTAACCTTGTTATTTTGAACCCAATCCAGAAGACAAGGGAACTCCTGGATCGAGTATTGGGAGAAATTTTGCCTTCGTGGAGGACTTCCAATTAACCTTTTGGGGTGAAAAAATTCCAAGTTAATTGAGTGATACTATCAAAATGTATGTTTATTAACTTGTTTTTTTTCCCTTAACACTTAACAAGAATTTACAGCATCTGGAGATAATATATTTTTATATCTATCGAATTGATGTCAGTCTTGGGGTCAAGCTTTTAAGAACTGTTTCCATTTTTATGTATTTTACAAACTGAATTGCTAAATGTATGCTGACTGAGACTTTGCTAACTTTAAATGGAGCTTTTTAAAACAGCAGAACTATAACTTGTCACGACATTAAAGACTTAATGTGCAAGTAAAATTGAACCACCTGAATAATTTTTGTTTTTATTCGGATCTTCACATACTAGAACCCGATCTTTATATTTTAAGAAGGTGACCTTGAACTTCCTAAGTAATGAGTACAAGAAATATTTTTAGTTACGAAATTAGGTACGAAAACATGCTTTTTCTGAATAAATATGCCTTAGTTCGGACTTTCAAAATATAGAGAGTAGCCGTTATCTAGGAAGTATGTTCCCATAATGGCACTCGAGTTTAGTCTTCATAATGATAGTTTCTCCATATCTCAAGAATTTCTTGAGTGAATGGAAAAAAATTTGCACACAATTAGGAAATTCATTTATCCAAAGATAATCCCAGGCAAAAAATTTTAAATAATTTTTTATTTTTTTTTATAATTTTATTTAAATTTTAAGGTATACAAGTTCTTACATAATTTTATGTGTCAAAATACAAAATTTTAATGAAATTAGTCTAATAGTTCTTGAGAAATAGAATTTTTAAAAAAATATGTATTTAAAATTTGATTTCACAAGAACCATTTGACTGATTTTGTATAAATTTTTTATCTTGACATAGAAAATTACATTATTTAGAATGATGGAAAAATTTGTATAAATTACAATTCAAAATTTTTTCCACTATTATTAAGTAAAATAATTAATTGCTAAAAAAATTTTTTTGCCCAGGTACATGAATTTTATAAGAGGTCATCACCACTTTGAATCATTAAGATTCAGTCCTAGTATGTAAAAATCTGATTATGAGACAAAAAGTTTTTTGGGGTAATTATTTTTTTACGCTCTGCATATTATCCCCTTTTTACATTAGTATATCAACAATTGATTTAGTCATTTTTGGTAATATACTAGCAATTTGAAAAGAAAATGTTTTATCACTTTCATAATTTTTATTATCTTACTTATTTTTAATAATTTTAAATAGTGTTACAAAAGTTTTTAGCTGTTGTGTTACATCTGCTTCTATTTACACAGTTAGCCAATGATGATATTTTCTTGTGAGAATTGAAAGATCTGAGGCTAGTATCATTAACAAATATGCATTTATTGTGACATGATTTTCTGCTACATGTAATTATTTTATTTTTAGTTTCATGTTTAAAATCTTCATTTTATTGATCTATATTAGTCATCTGCATTAGGTTAAGAATATAACTAATATTTACACACCATTATGTTTAAAGACCTAACTATATAGGCCAAAATAAATTCGTAATGTTATAGTGCCATATAGTTTCTTTTAAGCATATTTTTTATTTATTGATACACGGAATTTAGAATTATTAGAATTCCAACAATTATTGTTGTCCAACAATTATTGTCTCTGTAAGAAAAAATTTTCCAAAAATAATACTTTTAGCAGTTAAAGAAAAAAACTTGGTAAATTATCATGGTTGTCACTAACTTTCTGACATAACTATTTTAACCCTTCTTTATACTTTTAATCTTAAAACTTTTCTGACCAGAAATTTTTCACATTGAATATAGAAGTAAAGTTAAACATTCTAAATATTGATTTCATGCCCAAACGTTGTTGACCGATGATAAATTAACTGGATATTGCAAATGTAATAAGTTCTCCTCACTTTGAATTAACTTTTTAATGGCATTTAATCCAAAAATATGTTCAGTAATATTTAGATTTATGATAATGATCCATATTATATAATGTTGTCAACTTTCATAGCGCCTCTTCTTTTTTGGCTCCTAAAATACAGTAAAATCAGCTTACTAAGCCCAAACAAACAGAGATATAAGAAATTTTTTATATTCTATGAACGCGTGGAAGAGCATCCTCATAAGTAAGGTCTCATATTTTCTAAAAATCGAATAATTTGATATTTCTTTTGGCTTAATATATTTATGAGAATCTTGGACTTTTTACAAATAAACAAAGAATTTTTGGATAAAATTTTAAAGGGCATAGAATTCTTTGAATTTGTAAATTTTCATTGTGTTAAATTTGTAAACAATGGTTAATATATTTGTTAATGATAAGGGCTTTGATAAATTTTTAAATAAGTGTAACTATTATACATATTATATGTTCTGAATTGTATAAAAAGAATTTTCGTTTTTAAAAGAATTATAAGTGCATGTAAAATTTCATTCTGATTTATCAGTAACCGTGTCTATGTATTCATAATTTGTATATTAATTTAAGTTCTTATTTTCAAAGATAAATTAATACAATTCTTTTTAGGTAAATTATACAATTCTTTTTGTTATTTCCTACCCCTAAAATCTTATCTTATATCAGTTTGAAAAATGCATGTTACTTGATAATGGAATATTTTAATGTACTTACTGTTTTTATTGTTCTGAGTTGCTTCAATTTTATAGTGATTATTTTACTTTAATTACAACTGATATTGATGTATTTCATATTTCATTGTTTTAACTACTGCAAACCAGCATTTTATTTAAAGTCATACACACATGTAAAAAAAATTCTTTTATTTTTCTACAAATTATAGATTATTCATAGTATACAAATTTAATTTATTCTACTTCTAATTATAAATTCTTTATGTCTCATTATAAGTTATTAATTGCTCATTTTTAGTAGTGTTTATTTTATGTTATTTCTAATAATATCAAGGTTTAGCAACAAAAAATTAAATTTGAATTTAGTTATAAATAATTATTTTAGTTAGATTTACTATTTAATTTAGTATCTTTTTCAGTAGATTTATTAACTATTTTAGCCTGCTTAGTTAATTTTATTATTCACAAAGTAAATCAATATTACACAGAAGAGCTGTAAGTATATAATTTGAATCATTATTTAAATTTATTTTCTTTTTACTCATACACAATAATTCCCTGTGAGTAATAAATCTCCTATTTTTAATCCCATTAAATTGATTTAAGAGATAAAATAATTGTAATAAATCACCTTCTGCATTTTTTTTTAGTTTTTTTTTCTTCAAAAATTTTTGTTTATAAGAGAATATATGTAGAACTTATTGAATTGCTGTATACATCCTGGAACACATAAACTATCTGTAAAAAATATAGCAAGCTTAGAGAACTTAAGTTTTTCTCTACCGTAATGATGAGCTTTGAATGTTTTAAATGATCAAAGTTTTCTGAAGATTCCTTTTTAAATATTATTTTCTTAAAGTAAATTTAGTTACTTTTTTTTAAACAGATTTGAGTATACTTTTAATACTATATTATTATTATGGACCCAATCAACTTTTTCCCTTTGGGCAACTTGTGCCTGATTTCTATCTGCAAAAATTTAATATTATTAAAATATTATAAATAATATGAATCTTGGGCAACTTTGCCAGATTATATATTTTCAAAAATATAATAATATTTAAAAACATTATTTAATACATAAATTATATTTTTTTAAGTAATATTTTATTAAAATAAGCTTTATTACTCTTTTTATTTTACATGTTTGAGCTTACTTTAATACTTCATTATTATGGACCAGATCAACTTGGACAACTGTACCTAGTTTTTATCTGTAAAAATGTAATATTATTAAAAAAATTATGAATTATATGAAACTTAAGCGACTTTGCCAAAATGTATATTTGCGAAAATATATTATTTAAAAATTATGTATGCATAAAAATACAATGAAAATTATGATTTTAACTCAATTGCTGTAAAGAATTAAAAGGTTTAAAAATGATTTTTCCTTTTTTTCAGATGTGTTTGATATTCTGCCTGTGATAGAGAGATCTTTTACTGCTTCATTGAGAAGTGGTAGTGGATACAAAAATGTACATTCCTGCACTTACTGCAGCTATGCAACTGTTAGTAGAAGTAATCTTACAAAACATATCAGAATACACACAGGTGAAAGACCCTATGCATGTAAAGTGTGTGGTAAAGCTTTCTCGCGCAAGGAACACCTAACACGCCATTCAATTTGTCACTTACCGAAAAAATACAGGGTTTAATTATTGATATATTAAGCTTCTTATGATGGGGAACAATTTCGAACTTATATATATTCTATGTTTTTGCTTCATTAATGCTGTTTCTCTAACTCTTATTGTTATTCTGAATCAAAATGTTATGAGAACTTGGTTGTGTGTTCGTATTATAATCTTTATTCGATTTGATTTAACCGGTGGAACAAAGTACTTTATATTTCCTTATGCTTTAATCAATTTAAAAAGATGCATTATATCAGTGTTCTGACATATGTGGAATAGAAATGCTTACGCAGTTAACAGAATCTTCAATATAACTTACATAAATGTTATGTATGAATATATATATGTTGCTGTAAATGACCGAAATTGGTCGTTGTTGACTTCCAACGGTGAATGCTAACAATCACTTAGTCGCTTTGGTAAATATCCCAAATATATACTAGATCTAGTTAAGTGCCACCTGCCTGATATGCCCTGCATCAATGTTTTTTTAAGGTCAAGTGCTGCAGCCCAGTATGCATTTAACCGGTACTTCGAACACTGATGTTTCTCCTAATCTATCCTCATCCTGTATTAAAATATCAAATAAATATAATAATATCAACAAATAAATTTATGTCAAATTGAATTTAACAAATATTTTGGACATTCACTGAACCAACTATGACATTCACCAATGAAAGTCAACATTATCTTGATTTCTGTCAATCACGGTAACATATGCATGTATGTTATTTACTTTTTATATAATACTTTCATGGTAGCATTTCTATAAGATTTTTTTTACTGCAAAGTAATCTGAGATCAAATTTAAAAAATTATAGAATATTTGAATATTAAATCCTATTTTGATTTTCTATTCAAGTTTATATTTTCTTGGTAACTTATAAAGCTTCTTATTTATGAGTTTGATTATAGTTATTTGTTGATTATGATAATTGATATTGATGATTCAATAAATTTGAACATTTGATCTAGCATTTGAAATCGTTATATATTTGATATATTATTGAATTCCATATATCTATGTTTTATTATTTATGTCTGTGAATGCAAGTAGATTTTCCATATTTGTAAACACTTACATCATTGATTGCGTTTTATTTCTCAATTGGTGCCCTTAGCCATTTCCATTTCAGTTGTTGTTGATAAAACTTAATAAAGTTTAGTTTTTCAGGAATAATTAAGTTTTTATTATTACATATTCAATTTCTTGGTGCATCTCAGAAATTCATTATAATCAACCAAGTTTGTCTTTTTTTGGATTGCAAAATTTTAAAAGCTGCATATAATAATGAAATAAAGCAACTTCAAGATTTGGCACTTATATTTTTATTCATAATATTTTAATTTTCTTATCTACATTTGAAAATAAGTTAAGTGGCACATTTGAAACATTTATCTACATTTATTTCAGCGTTTCATTCTACCATTTGCCTATAATTATATTTGAAAATTAAATAAAATGTGTGCTTAAAAAAATACCATTAATATATTGAGATTAATTTTGTGTTATAAATAGTAGAGTGTCATTTAATATACGTAATATTTCATATGTTTAGTTTTTCTAAAACAAACAAGTATAAATGTGCTAATACTTTAATAAGTATTAACTGCATAATAAATATATGTTTTAATTTATAATAATCCTTTAATGTAATAATGGCAAATTAATATTCTCAGTAAAAATGCTTATTTTAAATATTTTATGTTGTAAACATTTTTAAATAAATATAATCCTTTAAGTTTTTTTCAAAATTATCATGCATTTTATTTATTAAAACATGTTTTAAACTTAATTTTATAATTTTAATTTTGTTAATAATTTATAACCTTATCAAAGATGCTTATTATTATGTTTTATGTTGTGACTTCTTTTAATAAGAGTTTGTTTATTGTAAAAAATTTTATATAAAACTGTAGTTAACCTTATATGTTAAAGCATTTTTTAAATAAATATGAATGTTTTTAAACAAGTTATTTAAATTTTTAATTGTCAAAGTAAATATAAGTCTTTATTGCAAACCTTTAAAAGAAATAGTTTAAATTTCACTTAAAAATATTATTTATATACATGTATCCGATTGAAAATTTTGCAATGTTATCTTTCATGAGTTAAATATATAATCTTATCAAATTAATCAACCAGACCCTGTCTCTTTTAGCTTTTTACCATTTAAATTTAATGGTTTTAATTAAAATGTTTAATTAATTAATTCTGCAGGCTTTATAATGGATTCTGTTATTATATTTTTTTTATGTAACAGTTATTATATATTGCATTTTGTTTACTCTTACTACAAGTTAAGACAATGTGTATCCTTCCCTGGATTTTCAACTTCACTTATATGTGCATCGTTTTTTTTCTCCATCATATTAATAATGGGATGGGTTATATTGTAGTTTATAATAATTACTAGTAATAATAAGGTTTATATTGTAGTGTAACTACCACTACAATAATGCAATTCCAATTCACTAATATGTAAGACAAGTCAACTCAATTCTATCTTGAGGTATCTGTTGATAGATAACAATTGACATTGTCAGTAAACTAGCCCCTACATTGGTGACCTTTGGTCATTATTTGAACATGCCCATCATGTAACTAATGCCCACTTCGATTTGAACACGTCTACTTTGAAGGATGATACGCATTGAACAGTTAACTTGCTATTTGTGACTGCAATATTGTCCTCCTAGCACTGTTTCTACTCAGTTAGAACTTGTATACACTCAACTGTTAATAGCAACACAGGAGTGATCGTGTACACAGCCATGAACTTAATACAGCTCTCAGGACTAGCTATCAATATCTGGTGAACTTAATACAACTCTCCTGATCTTTCGCAAAACAGAAATGAATCAACTAGTGATATCTATTCATCGAATTCTATCACAGATAAAATTCTGGTGTAGTAATGTATGGCAACTACCACTACAATCATACAATCCCAAGTCATTAGTATATAAGACATGTTTATTCAATCCTATCTTCTGGTACCTTTTGAAAGATGACGGTTGATATTGTCAGTAGCAAATACCCCGACAATATAATAGCTATACAAATTCAGTGGAAAGTTCAGTTAAAACCTCACTGAATAGCCTTATAACGTGTTAAAATCTGGACCAATCAAAACCTTGTTGCTGTCCGCACATTTGTTTTTTAGTTCTCCGCTTCTGAGAACTCAGTGAAAGCAAGTGCATAACCAAATCTATTGAATGATTACTTAAGCATTTTTTCTTTTAAATCCAAATTTCATTTCTTGCGAAATCAGTTTATTGTGAAGCATTTTATTCCTCGCAACATAATTTATATTAAAAGAAGTCTTGATATATAAATACTTCTTAAATATTCGAAGATTTCATGCATCAACATATTCTATATAGCATAAGATTTGTCAATGTGAAGCATTTTATTTCTGGTAACTTTATTCTAGAAAATTTGATATCCGGTTTTCATACATTTGTTTTGACACATTTTTCAGTAAGATTTGTTTATTTCAAAACCTTATGTTATAAACGTTATTATGTAAATTAAGTTTCTTTTAAAATGCTATTGAAATATTTTTACCTAATGTTTATCTCATACAAAATATTTATTGATTTTGCATATAATTTCAAACTAATATATGTATTCAATCTATTTTGTTTTATTATAACTGTACTGCAATAATTTATAAAAAGTTTTTTTAAATTCTAATGAATAAAAATGGTGAAAAAATTGGATGTTTTTTTTTTCTATTTTTATCTTTGTAATTAATATATTGTCATCCCTCAACTTTTTGTTAGGCTTAAGAATTTTGCTAGAAATAAGAAAATAATATGTTCCTTTTTATGTAGAGAGGTTTTCCTAACTAAGAGGAAATTTGTATATAGTGTTCTTTTTCATACACAACAATAAACAAATGGTATTTTTTTCAATATTTTGGGCAATTTTTTTGCTTTTTATAAATGCTGTTTAAACGTGTCTTGTTATACAAGGGAAGGAATTTCCTACCAGTTTTATTTACCTTTTTTACGAGACAAAAGATTTTTTTACTGCTAAAATTTTTTCACTCCGTAACATTTACTCAAAGGAGTCAATCTGAGTATTCAAGCATTTAATTAAATCATGTTTGGTGTATCTAGCAGTTATCACCCAACTTCTTTCTTTTACAAATATGGCTTTATTTTTTAAATTTTATGATATTTTTACTTAAAAAATAATAATATAAAGTGTGAAAAATTTATGCTTAAAAACAGATATTTAAAATATTATTAATATTTGCCAACAAAAAGTTACTTTATATACCTACACATTTTGAAATTGGAAAGCTATTTGGAAGAATTTTAATTCATGGATCTAACAAAACCAATCTAACCATGTAGCATATTTATGTTTAAATTTACCTATGAGGTTAAATATAGTATTTTCTATATTTTTGGGAACTTATGTTAGCCTATATATTTGTTTCTAGCTCATATTTTAAATCAAACATTTGAACTATGAACTTAGAGAGCTTCAAATGGGTACTAGTTCATTTTTTTTTCCTGGAGATTTCGCTTATTCCCCTTTTTTTCAAGTATTTTTTTAAATTGCTGTTTCCCTGTCAGTGTACTTTTTGAAAATGAAAGATGCATAATTTTTTTGATCAATTTTTTTGATTTGCAAAATGATCAAAAAAATATTAGCAATCTGTTAATCACAGAAAAAGTTAGGTAAACTATTAAAGAAATTATCGAGGAAAATTTATTCTGTATTGTAGAAAAAACATGATCCAAATCGGTACTCCCATTCTCCAGTTATTAGAATAAATGCATACATAGACTTTTGCTTTTATATATAGGGAAATTATTATTAGTTCGTATATTTTTCCTTTCTATTCTTCCTTTTATCACAATATCGTGCCTTATAATTGATGTAAACTAACATTTAAATCAAACTTTTAACAATTCATATCATAGTATATTTATCTATATCATATTCATTTATATACATTCATTAATCTTATTCGTTTGTACACATTATGTGAATTCTAATCATTATTATTTATTAATTAATTAACATTTATAAATTAACAAAAGATGTTATGTGTGTTTTTCATTTCTGCTTTATATTTGTTGTAAAGTTTAACAAACACCCTCTTCTACCTTTAATGTTGTTACTTATTAGCAACTCTGGAATGTAGAGGGAACATGTCTCCTTTAATAATTTTTTTTCTTTAGTTCTTGGGATAAACATTTCATTACATGTTGTTTTAAGTGCTTTTTCATTACATTCAAAATACAGTTGATTCCCTATAATTTTAAGTACAGTAACTTGTTTTTTTTATGAGCCTTTAACCCTTTCAGCTTTAATTTTATAATAATTATTCTCAATTTCTCTGCTTTTATTCCCTATAAATCGATTTTTATTTCTAGATATAGACCATGTCTTTATTGTTGAATAAGGCTTAGAAAAAAAATTTTTGTAAAATTTATACTGAGTTTGCTACAATTGAAAGTATACCATAACTTGATTTTTATATGAGCTATTAACCCTTTTATTTTTAGTGTCATATTAATCATTCTTAGTTACTTAATTTTTATTCCTTTTAGCTTGATTTTTTATAAATGTCAATATCTCTTATAGTTAAAAAAAAACTGATAACACATGTGTGGTTAAAGTAAACTTTTCTTTTGTTTGTATTGTTAGCATTCATACTGTTCTGCATTGCCTTAGAATTTGGAAATGCATAGATTCAAGAATGAAATAAGTTATATTAAAAAACAAATCTATCAATGTACTGTATAACTTTTGGTTGTGTTTTGATTGTATCATACAAGTATAAAAATTCTCTTTTTTTCAGGCAATTTGAAATTATACTCTTCCCATCCTACGAAGAGCAAATCAAATTTTCTCTACCATTTATGTGATATTTGTGGTTATAGTACCAATAACCGTGGAAATATGTTCAAGCATGTTAAGGTTCATTCGAAAGAGCGACCATTTGTCTGCAAAATATGTTGTAAAAGTTTCAAGCATAAGTATAATCTCGAACGGCATAGTATAACACACTTATCAAATTTGTAATACCTGGTAAAATAATTTGCTAATCATATATAATGAAGAATATTGTTGAATATAAGTTTAGGTTGCCATTTTTTAAATGAAATTTGAATGCAACCATGTATGACTGTCTCGTGGAGTAATTTTTTTCTTAAATTTTTAAGATTCTGAGAGCTGTTACCCTGGCCACAGGTTTATGACACCATTAGGCCTATCTTCTTACATAAATTAAAAGAAATTTTCAACTTGCATGGTATAATTTGAATTATTTTAATGTAATTTTATTTTTACTGTAGCAATTGACGAACTATATGCCAAAAATTTTGTTTTTGTTATGTAATGCATTTCCACAATGACTGAGTTTTGGCATAAATTATGGTGGACGCACAATTTCAAGATCCTGACATAATGGTGGCAATGGGGTTGGAATTGCAACCCAGCCACTTTTACATCTCAGACCAACTCTACCTATTGATCCAAAATTGAGTGAACTTTAAAATTCATCAAGAACTCTGGTCTTGGACAATACTAGCACAGTGCCTTAACCTTTGTACTATCATTGCCCATCTGTATCCATAATCCATTTATATTTAAATGTGAGTTAAAGCTGTGCATTATAGTCACAGAGATGCCAACTTGCTCCGGACAGCAAATATATATTTTAAAGTGGTAGTTTATCAATTGGGATTCTTGGTTTAATAAGTTCAATTTAGTAGATTTTTATCCACCACTATCTCTAAATAATTCATTGGCTTATATAATTCACCACTTTATAGTACTTATGTGATGCTATACCTTTTTAAAAGCAAGTAAAAATAGTCAAATATTTGCAAAATTTACTTTGTAGTTATTTACCGTTTTTTTTTAAAATTCTTTTGGCGTGTCCGGAGCAGTTGGCATCTCTGTAGTCATAGAATTGATAGCTCTGTCTATAATATATTCAAATTTTTTCTTACCAAAATTTTGTTTTTTATCGCTAAGTGTCTAACTAAAAGGGAAATTCAACATTATCCAATGTGGTATATTGGCTTTTACGATTTACTAATTAAATGAGATTTAAAAAATAAACTCAAACAGACTTGTTTTTCTAAAAGTGATTCCAAACTCCTTTTTAATGTTGAAATTTTTATTTTATGCAGTGAAACCTCCAGGAAAGACCACCTCTATGTAGCGACCACTCTTTGGAGGCACAGAATTTTCCCATATGTTGAAAAAAACCTTTAGGAGAGAGCATTAAAATCTCTTCAAGTGACCGGACAAACATATGTACCAAATGGGGAAAAGTCAAATAAGGAAGCATAAAAAAATATTAACAAAAAAATAAGTAGATTAAAATGTATTCAAAATATTTGTGCGAGGCTCTTATTTTCAGAGCTCTTTTTGATGATATAACTTCATGTTGCAGTCAGACTGCACTAAAGACGAGGCTATCTATGATTTACTTTTAGAGTTGAAACTTGAATTTAAAAAAAAAGTTATTCTACAAAAAAAAACAAGCATTTCAAACAAATAAATCTCTACTCATCTTTAAAAGCTAACTAATTTATATGATATAAAATTAAATACAAACTTAAGCAAAAACGAAATTGTTTACTTATTTAAAATAGCTTTATTATTCATAGTTGGTATATTTGTTTTTACGCACAGTTATATCTGTTGGGATCATTTTTATAAATGCTAAAATTTATTCATCTATCCATTTTTCCATGACGCCACCAGAAGTTGCATTTTCGCCCTAACAAAATGACACTGACTAAAATTAAAATTGTTTGGCTTTGATAACAGTTTTCCAGTCAATGTATTTAACCTCCGTCAATGACTATTTTACTGTCGAATGGATAATGGTCGCAACCGAGAGGTTTCACTGTAATGAAATTCTTCTAATGTGTTAAGGAATCTATTATGTTAAGTTAGTAAAACTTATTCAACTTGTATTCTTTTTTCTACAGAGATGATCTGCGGCCTGCTTTGTGTATCTCCTTCACCTTTAAAATCTTTTAAGTGCCCACATTGTGATTATACTACTACTCATCGGGGCCACTTGAAACAGCACATTCGAATACACACTAAGGAGCGTCCATTTGTTTGCAGACTTTGTGGAAAGGACTTTACCCAGAAAAATAACCTGAACCGTCATCAAATTACTCATGTCAATGAAGGAAAGTTTACTTGAAATGTACACGTGGGTTTTAAATATGCATTTTTACCAGAACAAAAGACTACATTATCTTATAATGTCATCATTGGAGATGTTAACTTACTTAATTATGTATTATAGCAAAATTTTCGCAAAATAATAAACTTGGAACATTAAATTTAAATCTTAAATAATTAGTTGTTAATGTTATTTAAATTTTTTATTTCTATCATTCAATCTGAGTTTTTATAAATACTTTAGCTAAAACTGGACAAAATAGGTAAATAAATACACATATGAAACAATGTAAATTTTTATATCCTAATTCACTGCTTACTTAAAGTCAACAAGAGTTAATGATTTATTCTAATCTCATGTTGTGCTAGATCAGGGATGCACAATCATTTTCTGGCAGTGGGTCATTAAAACTGCAAAATACATTATTGGGGGCCAAAATTAATGTGATGCTGTAATTATAAAAAGACGAGAAATATTTAATGTCTGTTTGAATGAGTTACAAATGTACAATTGATCTTTTGCTCTCTTATAGATCATAAAAAAGATTCATGTAAATAGCTTTAAGCAAATATACTTTTTAGATAAAGCAAATTATGATAAATTTATAGGCACATTGACTTTTTCTTTCTTTGACTTTTTTTCTCTTTTAATTTATTTGTAAAAATTCATAAGTAATTATTTTTCACTGCAAACTTTGAACCTACTGCAACTACTTTGAACCTCTGGCAACTACTTTCTGTTACTGAAAATGGCTGAATGGAATTTTTTGTACTTTTTTATATTTTTATTACTATTTTAGACTGTTCAAGGACTATGTTAAAAAGATTTGGGGTCTCTGTGCTTAATGAAAGAGCCTTAGAAGAAAAAACTAATTTCTCTTGGGTTCTTCCGCCTAAATTTTCCTAATATCTCCATCTAGATTCAGCATATGGAAACTAACTTTGACTTTCATTTAATATGTCATTAGTAAATTTCTACAATCATTATATGTACATAAAATGATAGAAAGCTTAGGTCTGTGCTATAAGAGGTTAAGTTGTACTGAACATTTTCTTACAAATTCTGTAACTGCAATTTTTCAATTAAGGCAAAATAAATTATGAAATGTCATATTGTGTATTTTCAATATCGTGGTTATTTTTTTAACACTTTAAGTTCCAAATGAATTACATTCTGTTTTTGTTGTAATGAGACTATAAATATCTGCTTTGGCTTTGACATTTGGCCTGCCATTATGTATCTTGAAATGAGGGTGTATGCCACTGTATATTGTGTGGAATCTTTTATTTCATTTTTGTTATGTAATTTTTTGTAATGAAATAATAGATTTTTGTTTAATTTTCAGCATATACCAAACAAATTAATGCTTTTGACAACCATAAGGGGTTATTTTCAAGATATCAAAGAAAATCTCGTCATCAGTGTCCTCACTGCCTCTACTCAACATTTTTAAAAGCAGATCTCACCAAACATATAAGAACTCATACTTGTGAAAAACCTTTTTCTTGTTTTACTTGTGGAAAAAGTTTCACCATAAAATCAAACATGCTCCGTCATATGATAGTTCATTTAAAATAGCTATTTTTATTTATTTTAAGTTTTTTTTTTAAATCTAATTATAATTTATTTTTATGTGCTACTTTAATTTATTAATGTTTTCCATTTAGAGAACTGCAAAGTTTACCATTGTAAAATTTAGTTTGTAAAAACTTCTAACTATAATAAATTTTATTCAGCATTAAGCCTCTGTTAATTCTTGTAATTTCGTTCTTATTCTTGTTTGCAATGCTATTTTTTTATACTATTTCAATTATATTAAAACTAAAACTTCACACTCCCTCCATTTGACTAACTGTCTGGCATTTTCTTGATGTAATGCTTTAATCATATTTGTTGCATTAAGCTTTGTATTATTTATAATCAAATTTATAGGTAATATATAAAATCATTTATCATGTTTTTCTTCAAATATCATTAAAGGTTTTTTTTTCTCTACTAAAATTTCTACAATTTGTACAGCATTTATTACTTGATACATAACTTTATTGTTAATCCATTGTTAATTGCTTTCAATTCAGATTTTTTCAAGTAGTAAACCATACTTTATGTTTCTCATTAGCTTTTTGTTAAGTCACAATTCATAAAATTTAAAAATTTCCTACAATTCCTTTTTTTTTTAAGCAACATTTTCAGAATTGTTTCTAGCAGCAATGCAGGGACAGTAAAGATGTAGTAACACTTTTTAAAATTTTATTTTAATAAATACTCAAAAGTAATAATAATATTATAATTTATACAAATTAATAATGGATTAATTTACAATCATTTTACATATATAAAACTATCATTTTTCTTAAGTTATAATCTGTACCAGATATTTTGCTTTATGACTAAAGTGCAATGAGCTTTATTCATATTGGTTTTTGCTTTAGTCTACATTGCACAAAGTATTACCCTCTCCTTTGTTGGATTTTGCTTTATGTTTAATTTTACATAATTAATTTTTAATTAATCATGAGTTTTTTGTAATTTTTATCATATATTTTATTTATTTTTAATGAAATTTATTTCTGGAATAATTTATCATAACATTTTCTTTGCTTTATATTTCATTGCTTCATTTTAGGAATATATTTTTTCATTTGTAAATTTTGGCTCATAAGGTCTATTAAATTTTGGAACTTACAATGGTAAAAAATCTAAATTGTGTCTATACGTCATAAGTGATTCATTTCTGGAAAGAAAAAAAAATAATTCAAAATTGTGCTATTTCTATGATTGTAAAAAAAGATTTCTTTTCAGGTTCTGAAACCTCTTTGAAAATTCATCATTGTCCTTATTGTAATCATTCTAGTTCTCGAAGGAATGATTTAAAAAGACACATTATGACACACACTCAAGAAAGACCTTTTGCTTGTGCAATTTGTAAAAAGTGTTTTAGCCGAAAAGGAGACGTAAAACGGCACATGATAGTACATTATTCAAAAACTTTACTGTAATTTCTGTTTTTCTCTTTTATAATGTGATAAAAAAAAAAGATTTTTATGTTATGAAAAAATAGTTGACTGTGTACACAGAATAAATTTTTGATAATTTCAATGTATTTTAGTTCTAATTTTAAAACATTGAATTCAGCAAAGATTTATAGAAAGTTTCTGAGAAGTATAGAAAGTTCATTTGCTTAGTTTTCGGAAAATATTTATTTTCTTTGTGCTTTGTTAATAATGTTCTATTATAATTTATATTGTGCATTAAAAAAAAATTATATGATTATCAATGTTAATGTCAAAGTTGTTGATGATGTTTTAAAAGTATGGCATTTAAACCACTGAAACAACTTTAATGATATTTATTTATTTACAATGGATGACACTGAAATGTGCTGTAACTTTTTAATGAATATTTTTCGAAAAAAATTCTAACTATAACATGAAAATTTTTATATCAGGCAAAGAGATTGTAATCTGTTGAACTGAAAAAGACTTCCAGTTATTGGTTTTTCTTTTTTTTGTAACTGGTTTCATATAAATTTAATTCCTTATATATTTTTTTTAACTTAGTTACTGAAACTGAATAATACATGATTTTTTAAAGAATAAAATACTTTTTTTACACTTCCTTAGTCTTTCATACATATCTTGTGGAATATGTCATACTAAACCTAGTTACTTTCTTGAAGCTTTCAATAACATTTATAAATTATTGAATATTATTAATGCTCAATAAATCGATAACAGTGAATTGATTGTTTTCATTTTTATCACTAATGCTAGGAAAAATATTTTTGCTCGTTGGAAATATTTTATAATTGAAAAGCTTGTTAAAAAATGTTCAAAGCATTTAAAAAAAACATTTTTTTTTATTTAACATTTTATATTTAATTTTATTTTTAATAAATTTATTTCAAAATATATTATGTATAAATCAAATTTTATTTAAGTATACAACATTGAATTTATTTGTCCCTCAATGATTGTTAAGACACGGATTGTTTGATTGTTCAGACACGGTTCTCAACAGATCCCCAAAGTCAAGCATCACTGGCTGCGGTCAGTGTGCGGGTGGGGGACCACTTAGATCAGTAGTCTGCGTAGGGACCGAGGTTGTACGGTATTGATCCTTGTTGAATTTTTCTACCACAAAGTGCTTGACTTCGTGTGCAAGGTCATCTGGCTACCGAATCGGGGGGTGCCATCTTCTCTACAGAGGATCAAAATTGTGATGGCATGTTTTTGGATCATCCTCAGGGATGTTTTCCAGACTGTCGCCAATAGCCCATTATGCATCCCTAGTGCGACGTAAAAGAAACTAATATTACTATTACTGCTATTGGATTTATTTTGCTAAGTAGTTAAATTTCGGAGATCTCGGTAAATAGTTATAAGTGCATATAACAACTAACAGTTGATGAGTGACTTTCAAAAACTTGTATTTTGATCTCAAATAAAAGAGCTTAAAGTGTGAGAACAAAAAACTAGAAACAATTTAAATAAATATTGCGGATTTTTCCAATGTGAAAGAATGAAGCAAAGACATCTTCACTTTTCTATTATCTTTTTTAGCCAATGTACTCAAATTCGCTAAAACATTAAAAACTGAAAATTAAAGAATTGTTACTTTTAAAATCATAACGATTGCATGATTTGGTTAGTACTTTATTTCTCCTTTAATTGCAGTATGTGTACCATTAAAAAAATCAAGTTTTATCAAAAAAGAAAAAAAAATTGGGATTTATTTCAAAATCAGGGCTTATTTTTCTGTATATTTGTTAACAAGTGTTTTTTCCTCATTCGTTTAAAAATAAATTCATGAATTTGCATTTGTATTAAAATGTACATCTAAAGTGTTTTCTTCCTTTCTTTTATCAGTAGATTTTTTTTGTTTTTATCTTATAATAAGGTATAAAGCAAAGTTAGTTATTAAGTCTCTTAATTTTTAGTATTCAGTATAAGTTTTATCAAACATTTATGAGGAAATCATTAAAATGTAAAACCCATTGATTAGAACATAAAACATTTTTCTTTATTAAATTAATATTACCGCTCTTTCTTTTCAGGCAGCTGATTGTTTTTTTATTATAATAAAAAAAAATTATTATTATATGTATTATTATTTTTTTTATTATAATATAAATTTTTTTTTTCTTATTTGAGAATGTGAAAAATCTTATTTAATGTTCTTAAGAAGTTGGCTTTTTTCAGGTGATAAGACTGAGTTTGAGATATCGTACTCTCCCAGGCCTGCAAAAAGCAATCCAACTCGTCTGTACCATCTATGTGATATCTGTGATTATTCTACTAATAACAAAGGGAACTTTATCAAGCATGCCAAAACGCACACGGAAGAGCGACCATTTGTTTGTCAGTTATGCAACAATAGTTACAAGCATAAGCATCATCTAGTGCGACATAACATTTCACATTTACGAAAATTGTGAAACGAGGAAAAAATAAACTGCAATAATTTTTCTGTAAAGTTTGTTAATTTCTTTTTTTTTCAGCTATTAAAAATTGTGACTGTAATTTCTTTAAAAACCAAAAAAATACTATTTTAATAAATATAATCAATGATTTATAGTTTGAATTCTTGATAACTTTTAGTGAAACATAAAATGTTAACAACTGCCTACTAATCAAACTTTAGATTTATTCCACTAAAATGTCAACTTTTAAGTGAAATTCTTAGTTTTGATTCAAAGTTATTTCTTTCCAATGTTCATATGTTATAAATGGGCTAGGCTTAACCCTATTATAAGTGAAAAAGATTTAAAATAACAGTTTCAAAAGTCGGATTTATAAGGAAATTTTTATATCCATCTGTTTATAACCTGAACAAAAGTACATATGGAAAAATCCATTTACAATTAATGCAAAGCATTTCATTCTTATTGTGTACTTATATTATTTAATAGTTGCAGTGACTGTTGTAAGTAAACTGTGCCATTAGCACTCATATGTTAGTTTAAAATTACACCAAGAAATGATTTATACAGAATGTCTCAAAAATATAAGCAAAACACATTAAAGGGAGATAGAGCACATAATAAAGGGGAAACATTGCTTAAAAACATTAAATTTGATTGGAGAATGGTGACAAATATGAAATATCTAAAAGATCCCAGAGAATGATTGATTGAAAACATTTATCTTGCTTCCAATAATCATTATGTATTTATCACATGTACAAATTGTGTATACTATATTAATGCCATTTCTATTGAAATTTTGTAAAAAGGAAAAAATAATATTTTAACGCATTTTCCTTTAAATGCAAACACTTGTCATAAACTGTGACGTTTTCAAAAGTTAACTATAGATAGTTTAGGCTATTTATTTAAATGTTATTTTAGCAAAGTTTGATGCTTATAGATGTGCAGCATTATTCAATTCCTTGGAAATTAGTCAGCGCAATAATCTACACAAAAAAGCAACTTGGATCGTTATGCCACAGTTTCAGTGCTTTTCATTACATTCATTTATATATACTTTTTTGTATCTAAACTGAACTGAAGAATAATGATACTTCTGAATTAATTTAACAACCATTGTATAAAAAGTCGAAAAATTAGTTTCGGGCGAAATAGTTTTGCTAAGAGAACTATTCGAGTTAAAATTTAAGAACCACTTGGTAGAGTAGTATCTTTAGTGTAAGTAGTATTTACTTTGACTATGTTATGTAAAAATAAGCCTGAGTTCATCTTTAGTATAAGTAGTATTTACATTCAGCAAATTGCTTTAAAATTTTATATGTGTAAAATTATCGAACTTTTGCAGTATGTAAAACTTTATTTAACATGTGTTCTTTTACCATAGAGTTGATCAACAACCTACTTTCTATAACTCCTGCAAAATTGTTTGAGTGCCCATATTGTGACTATTCAACTGCGAACAGCAGCCATTTGAAACAGCACATAAGAATACACACTAAAGAACGTCCATTTGTTTGCAAACTTTGTGGAAAGGACTTTACCCAGAAAAATAACCTGAAGCGTCATCATATTACTCATGTTATGAAAGAGATGTAAATTTAGGTGTACTTGTGAATTTGAAAGGTATACAGTTGCCTGAAGAAAAACATTAAGTATCTTTATAATATCTCACAAGATATAGTATTTTGACACTTAACAGAAAATTAATATACTTATTGCAGCTAATATGCAACACAAGCATGTCATTACTTGCATTATTTATATGTTGTGCAAATTTTTTATTCTACTTTTCCATCTATATCATAATTTATAATTTTACCTTAAAGTAGAAATAGTCAGAAACTACCCAAGTCAGAGATTGGCTAATTGAAACCTAAGAACTTGCATACTTACAGTCAATAAGAGTTGACAGTATGAACAAAACCTTGTTGTTACCTCATGTTATTCACATTTCGCTTGAGTCTTTCCTCTTAAATAATCTTAACACATTGTTGACTGACGAGTTAACTGGTCTTTTTAGGACCAAATGTTGCTGCTCAGTGACGAGTCAACTCATTGTTCAGTGATGAGTCAACTCGTTGTTCAATAACGAGTCAACTCGTCATTGCACTATCTGTTTCAACTAATGAAGCTCAGGGTGATATAGAATATTACAAAAGTTTTCCGCATTGTGTTTAGTTAAAAAGTTTTGTGCATGATTTATAGAAATAATAGCTGATGATATGACATAGTTTCAGTGGCGTAGCGAGGGGGGAGCAAGGGGGGGCATCATGCCCCGGGCGCTACTCACAAAGGGGCGCCAAATGGTCAGCAAAACAANCCCCGGGCGCGAGTTAAGCTCGCTACGGCACTGCATAGTTTTTGTATAAAATTCCTGGTCAATAAAGTGCTAATATCACTGCTTAAGTATCGACCAATGAGGAAAACAAAATCTTCGTCCAATACTAGACCTCTGTTACATGCATCTTGAATCTCATTGGTGAAGTTCTGCAATTATTCAAGATCAGACTGACCATAAACCCATAATAAAATTGCAATCGTTCATGGGCCCCAGTTTCTGTGGTGAGCCCTGGAATCACAAGTAAATTTGAAACAAAAAGCATTGAAAAAGTTTAAAATCGTTTTAAAATATATCTTACTGTAATTTATTCCATTTTAGCATTATTAATGAAATATTTTTTAGAACTTTGTTGAATAAATATTACTGAAGGCGTGATAGAACATCCCAGTTTAAACAACTATTGCAATCCATCAACCAGCATTTCAGCTTTGTGCAAGTGTAGTATCGATGTTATAAAAGAAGGACCCCACCCACAAAATGTTTAAAGGTCAGGGGGGCTAAAGTGCAGCCCCTCCTTAAAATTAGGAAAAGAAAAATACTCAGGCCAAAATGGCATTTGAATTTTCAGTCAATATTTCTTCAGCATTTAGAAGGCATATAATTGGATAATATTTTTTTTTTCTTTAAGTTAAGTAATTATAAAAAAAATGACTTGTTTGTTACTATGTTTTTAATGATAATAATATTACGAACTAACAAAAGTAATGTCACATTTGCCACATTAATTAAAAAATAAAGTGTTTAAAAATATTAAATGTAAAATATTAAACTTTTTAAGTAATGTTGGAAATTGAATTATGAATGATAAAACCAGTTACAGATTATTAACATCTCTGGAAATGTTAATAATCGGAAAATTTCATTCTTCTAAGAGGTGCCCAGTCCGACCCTGCTATCACTGTGTGTTTATACTTTTAAATATCACAAAGATCTTGACATGAAAGGTGGTGAATATTGAATATTTCTCAACAATCTGTATAACATCAGTTTTAAGAAGTAAATAAATGTTGTATAAACTAAAGTTTTAAAATATATTATACTTTATTATAATATGTATTAATTATAATATAAGTATTAATATGCATATATTGCACTTACAATAATTGTATTTTTAAATATTTCCCCCACTACCATTTACTACTTTTAGCAACCTTATTTAAACAATATTACTACATAATTGTTATTTTTTTTTATTTCTATCTTTCAGGCTTAGTATTGAATTCAAATTTTTTTTTAGATGTTTACAGAAGACAGAATTGATAAAAATGTTTTAGCACTTTAAACTGTGTTGTGTTTGCATACTTCGTTGTAGCTAATTACTGTTTTGTTACCTACTTAACTGTCAAGACTTTATTTTGATGTAGATTGTTGGTCTACATTAAATATTTTAACACTCTATTGTTTTAACTATCAGTAATTGATGTAAACTATATTTACACTTAATGAAATATTTAAAGGGCTTGAAGCAATATGATATAAGCCTAGCTTTTTTTTCCCAAAGGTGTACATTCCAGTTTGGTATTTTACAAGTTTCTAGTTATCTTATTTTCTTATAAAATTAAAATATGTGCTACGATCATGATCTCAACTGACAGCTATTTGTATGAATATATATTAAAATTTTTTAATATTGGTGCATTTGTTTTATGTTTATATGTATAATCTTTCTGCTATTCTGTTCGCTTTGCTGCTTCATTTTAAATTACCTACTTGAAACATGCATCTAAAATACATTCATATTTAAAGTTTTATTCGTATACTATTATGTGTTCTGGAACATTTGTTTAACGGTCTATTGTATATAAAGCTGTTGGTTGTTTCAAGTATAATTGGTTGATATTTTAATAAGTTTTGTCATATAAACAAGCTAAATCCTTTTTGTTCATTGTAAGTGGTTTATTAAATAATTTATTCAGACTTTTTAAATTGTTTGTGAAATTTTATTGTGTGTAAATGCATTTGTTTCTTATATTTTTTAAAAAAGTATCATTCAGTAAAATTATTAACTTTTTCTTCTACATTCTAAAAGTTTTTGTTTTATTATTTTTTATTTTATTTTCCTGTTCTTATTTTTTAACATTTTAAATCATCAACCTTGTATATTTGTATAAAAAAAATTTGCACTTCACTTTAATAAAATCCAATTTATTGTACAAAAATGCATCATTGTTACTGAATTTGAGCTCAACGGGTAAAATTTTAAATGAAAACTTTTGTTTAATTAAATACTACATATACATTTAATTAAAAGCAGTCGTAGATAGTTGAATAAAAATGGTAATATAAAAATTTGATCAAAATTGTTTGTATGAATGTTTAATCCTTTGTTAAGTAATTCATGCACAAAATATATTTATTTTTTTTAAATTGAAGAAAAAATAAAATTTGTATTTTAATAATTATTTTTCAAACTATAGCTCTGTAACTAATTGCACATCTCATATATTAGTTTAAAACATACATGCTTTATATTTCATTTATATCAAGAAAATTCAGGATAATTATTTTTATGAAAACACAAAAAAAGGGAACAAAATTGATGTTCAACTTATCAGAAGTATTTAAAAGTCTTAAGGTTACTTATTAACTTTGAAAAACTGTCAAGAATTGGTAGGCTATGAAATAATGTAATATATGGTTAATTCCTATGTTTATTATCAATCAACATATTGAGAAAATTGAAATTTTAAAAGTATTTTACATTTTTATTTTTCAAATGCTATTTGACTGAACATGGAAGTAAAAAGTTTATTCCTTTTTTTATACTTAAATTTTAGTCAATGTTGCTTGGAATATCTTTGGATAAAGAAGTTTTATCGGTGTCTTTGTTTAATTTTTGGTTTTACCTACTTAGTTTTAAGGTAATATTCAAAAAGTAAGATTTACTAATGTAAATCTTACTTTTGCTTACTTATTTAAGTGCTCAAGTTTTCAAAACTCTCCTGACTAAACAATGATACAATATTTTCCAAAGTGCCATTACCCTCCATATTTTAAAGGGCAAAAATCTCAACCTGTGAGAAAGGGTATGTTTTTTTCCAGCAAAAGTACATTTTTGGGGTATTAATTCAATGATACCAATCTTAAGAACCATCTGCACTCATTCTTTTACATATTTTTTGTATTATCTTGGAATTACAAAGATTTCACTTAAGTATGTGATAATTCAGTAATTAGATTTTTCGGAACATAACAGAAAATTTCAGTATGTATCTTTATTTTTATCCTTTGCACACTGTAACATGACAATGATTAGCTCCCTGTTTACGGACTAAGTATACATGTTATGCTTAATTTGTTATTCTTTTTTCAGGAAGTGATTCATTGTTTTCGATAATGGATGTTAAAAGGAATCAACATCAAAAATTTCCTCTTGTCTTTTGTCATCTTTGTAAGTACAATTGTCTTAATAAATGTGATATGGTGAAACACTTACGAACTCACACTAAGGAACGCCCTTTTGCCTGCAGTGTTTGTGGTAAAGCTTTTTCCCAAAAGTCTAATATGTATCGCCATGAAGCAACTAGACATCACATAAAACGGGCAGCTTTCTAGTTTCTGTCCTGAATCAGGAATCTATGCAATGCTACATTTCCCAAATTATTAATATGCATCATCATAAATTGGATAGGCATCACTTGCAAGAAGCAACTTTCTATTCTATTGGCTGTATCAGAAATATTACATGCAATAGAACATTTCCTTCAGTCTAATATGTATCACCAGGAAACAGCAAGACATCACTTACAACAAGCAGCTTTTTAGTTTCTGAGTTATATCAGAAATTTTCTATGCAACTTTCTGGTGTATTGGCTGCATCAGAAATCTTACATGCAATGTAAAATTTCCTAAAGTCTAATATGTATCACCAGGAAACAGCTACACATCACTTACAACAAACAGCTTTTTAGTTTCTGAGCTATATCAAGAATCTTCTATGATATTCAACAAACCCCAAAGAAAAATGTGTATCAGGTAGCATCTGATTCAAGAGTATTCTACACTATGTAATATTTCCTAAGTTTAATATGCATTACATAAAGCAACTAAACATCACTGATAATGGACAACTGTGTTGTATTTTATAATCGTACTGTGAGTTTTTAGTAGTACTGTGATACTTGCTGATTCTATTCTGTTGCATAGCACTTCCCAGAATCTAATATGTACGCCTTGAACCAACTGGGCATTACTTACAATGGAATAATGGATGACTTTCTTGTACCAGAGATTCACTATAGTTCTATTATGTAAAGCATAATTTCCCAAATTTCTGAACCTGTATTCTAAGATGTTTGAATCCTATGGTTTCAAAAGTCTAAGGAACTTAAATACATGATATTTACCCATTGCTAAGAAGCGTTATATTTATCACTAAAGTTAAACTTTTATTGTTAAAAATATTTTTCATATCTATAAAGAGCACTCTGCAGTTTTAATTATGCTAATAAAATGTTGTTTTTTTATTTAAAACCTGCTTAGTTTGCCTGTGTAGTTTTTCTTTTATTTATTATTATATGATAACTTAGAAGTGTATTTTATAAAAAAAATTACTACTCCTTCACTGTAGAATACACCATCATTAATTTCGCATACTATATTTTTATTTATTATTTTTTTGTATTGTCCTAATCCTTTCTGTGTATTACATATTGTAACAAAAAAAATACAATTAAGCGGGTGATTAGAAAATTATATTCCTTGTCTTAGTACCTATCCAATTATTGTCAATATTGTTGATGATGATTTTACAAGTGAAACTTTTTAAACCACTGAAACAACTTTATTGACTTTTACCTGCTATTTTACATTTTCGGCATATATCGCTCATGGGCTGCAATAGTGGCACAACTAAAAAAACACACGTTTTGTACTAAGAACAGGTGTAAATATGAAAATACACATTCTTTCAGCAGCAATACTAGCACAACTCATAATTCAACTTGAAGGTAATCTTCGTTTAAGCAAACTGAAGCATTTCTATTGCATCTTCCTTAGCAATGAAAACTTTAAACCCACTTATCTCAAAACTTGATTTTTTGAGTTGTGCTGGTGTTGCTGTACATGAGCGATATGTGTGTATATAAAACACAGTCACTTCTTTTCTCACACAGTTTTTACCTTTTCTTAGTTATCTATTCAATTCTTATTGTCAATATTTAAGTTGTTGATGATGTTTTTACAAGTAAAACTTTTCAAACTACTGAAACAACTTTATTGACTTTTATGTGTTATTTTACATTTTCAGCATATATATATATATAACACAGTCACTTCAAGATTACACAACTCTAAAGAACCGAAAAAAATGTGTAACTTACCACTGAAAATTTTTGTTCTTTGTTTTGTGATACTAATTTTTTTCGTGATAGATGAATACCATTCTCTAGTGTTAAAAATTGCATTTAATTTTTTTAAAAAAACTGGAAATGACCATTTTAGGCTTTATGCAAAAATTTTCACAAATGTGTCTGAGGCGCTCATCAATAAATGAAGTAATGTTGTACTTAAGCATCAAGAAATACACAAAATTTCCAAAAAAAAAAGGTGAAAAACAATGTTCAGAGAATGTTCATATTTTTGATACTAATTTTTTCGTGGTTGATGAATGCCATTCTCTAGTGTTAAAAATTGTTTTTAATTTTTTAGAAAACTGAAAATATCCATTTTAGGCTGTATGCAAAAATTATTTTCACAGATTTGCCAGATGAGCTCATCAATAAAAGAAGTGAAATGTTGTGTTTATGAATCAAAAGATGCACTAAATTTTTTTAAAAAGAAAAGATAAAGAACAATGTTCTGAGAAGTATTTGGCAAAAAAGAAACAATACAGGATATTATTGTATAAAATTGTCTGTGGGTCATGACAATTTAAGAACTAATGTTGTTCTTATAGACCAAGTAATGTACTGACTTTTAAGGTAGAATGACAAACTTCTACTTTTGGGAAGGACAAAATTTCCAATTTGCTGAATGAAATTTCAAATTTGACCTAATCATGAATAAGTATGTAATTCATTAGCTTCAATAAAAAAAATTATTTTGTTGCTAATATTTTTACAATATTTCAATTCTTTCCACCAATATACTATTGATTTAACGACTTTATACTTAATTATTCTAGTCAATGACCTGCGATTTGTCTGTGGGTATGGAAGTAAACTGTTGTGAAGAACTGGGGTTAGAGCCTAGTGGCTTGAAGCACATTCAGCTTCAGACCAATGGGAACCAGTCTATGTGGGAAGTCAAAGCTGCCAGTGTGCAATGCTGACCACATCCCCACAATCAGCAACTGCCACATGGTGGGACCGAAACTTTCATGAACCCTCTGAAACGGGAATGCTTTATTTTTATTCTAGTTAATAAGTAATGAATATTGAACCTTTTATTTAATAAATCTAAAAAAAGAAGAAAATTAATTTGCAGCTGAAATGGTGACATAATTTTTCTCTATCCAACAAATAATTTAGTCATCAGCAAATCTTGTTGGGTATAAATAAAATAGGTATTCTGAGAATTGTGCTTTAAAATGAAAAGATAATTTCATCAGTTAAAAATTAACAATTTACTATTACAAATATTGTGCTCAATTTATCTAAATTTTATATTTACTTGCTGCATTTAAAACGTGAACAACTATAAAGTAAATACAGGTATAGTAAATGTGATTTTATCCCTAATTTCTTTCAGTTAGTATACATTATAATTTATAATAATTCAATAAATTTACTAGCATATAAACAGAAGAAATAAAAATAATTACTTTTTAGTTAATTTAGTACCCCAATTTTTTATGTCTTGATATTTTTTATGTTACATTTTAATTACATTAAAAGCTAGTCCCTCTACCATTTATTGCTCCTGTATCCTCAGAGTTTTACTATTTAATTGCTCCAATTTTAATAGAAATCCAAAAAAAGTAAGGCGCGTCACACGTATTTCCATTTGTGATCTCTAAATAAAATAAAGGGAAAGGAATTTTCGTAAGTATGGCAAATGGGCAAGCACAATCTGCCGAATCGTGAAAATGTTTGAGTGGTCACAGCTTCTCTCGCATCCCGCCGCCTGAAGTCACTAACAACAAGGAATTTGGGTGAAAAAGATTAGAATGATCAAGTTACTATTTTACTTTTATATGTGTATGGTGTTTAAGGTTTTTAATATCATCGTAAAATAAACCAACCATTTGACTTTTTAAAATAACATAGTACAATTTCAAGGTAAAATTAAAATTTGTTTAATAAAAACAGACTAAATTATCTTATGAAATTTTACATCTACCTTTCAACTGTGGACTCAAAAATTAATTTTTAACCAGTGGCGCGCATATATGTGTGAATGCTCAGAGCAAAAATCTTCAATTAGATGCCCCTGAAGTGAAGAATATTATTATGAGAAGTCCAAAAATAAAAAATATTATTTGTAAAAATTAGAAGTTTTTATGCAAGCATTAAATATTTATTGTTCTGTAAGAAAATGCTTAGATCAAATATTCTTAACTGTTTGTTAAATGCAAAAAAATAAAGATTTTATGACCTTAACCTTCATTATTAAATTTATTTGAAAATCACCTTTCATTATTCATAAAATATTTTTTGAACAATCAAAGTTTTAGTATTGCTAGTTGTCTATTGGATCTTCGTTTTTTGCTCAAAACCTGCCTGCCACTATTGCTTTCTTATATTACTAACTGGTATTGAATTGGACAAAAATTCCTTGAAAAGAAATTTTTATGTAAATTTAATCAACATGGTTTAGAATTGCCCAACAGTGTTAGTTTTGTATTATTGTCTCAAAAATCATAAAAGTTAATTTTTATTCTGCAAAATATGTTTTAAAATATTTTATTTTCTTTGTTATTTCAGGATTTGTGAAAACTGGTGGAAAGTATCGATGCCATTTTTGCACATTTTGTACTATTGATAAAGCTGCTATGAGACGCCATGTCAGAATTCACACTGGCGAAAAACCCTTCCAATGTGATATTTGTAGTAGGCGTTTTGTTCAGAAAGGTCATTTGAAGAACCATATGATAGTTCATATTCGAAAAGATTTCTTCTAATTTAATTAAGTGACCTCTATCATTCATTTCCTGATGTCCTATTAATATTGTCAAGAGTAACTTTTATGTCAGTATTCTTGAAAAAATAATATCTTTATATATTTTCAGGCGATATTGATTGTGTTAACTTACTTTTTGTCTTCACTTTAAAAGAGCACAGTTAAATAGGCATGTCTAATTTCTTACTGATGATAAACTCATAAGGTGTGAAATTCATTACTTATGATTCCTCTAAAAATCTTACTTGATGACTGAGACATACAGTAAATCTGTATAATGCAAAACTTAAAATGTGGTGCTGTGTATTATATAGAATTTTATGTTGCATAGATCATTTCATGTATCATGAAATCTATTTACTAAACTCAGAAATATATATGTCAGCCAGATAAATATTAAAATACTTGAAAATAAGTTTTAATATAAATGCTTAATACAAAAATTGGCACATAAGTGTTTATTATTTACAGATACAGAAAAAAATTTAAATTATCAAGAACATAGTAACTGACAACAAACAAGTCTATCAATTTTGGTTTAATTTGCTTTTAAAATTTTTACCCACTCAGTGAAAAATATTTCTGGCAATCTGTGAACAGTTATAATAATCTGCTAACTGTCTTGTTGAGTTGAAGAAATTTTTAAGTTAGGATTTTTATTGTTAATGTGGTTTATGAAGAATTGCAAATTAAAAACTTTTTATATATAAATCTTCCATTGCATCTGTTATTGTCTGTTGATTGTATTATGTGTCTTTCATAACATACTTATTTTTCATTTGAAAGAGAATCAATGTTGATATACAACATTTTTGTGCAAATTAGTCTAACGTGCTAGACAATTAAGGATTAGTGTTTTATTTATTCTATGTCAAAAATAGTTAAAACTTTTTTTTTTATTTGTACCAGATGATTGACATACATAATTGTATTTTTATTTTAATATTTCAGGATTTTCAAAAAAGGACCAAAAGTATCAATGCCATTTTTGTTCCTACTCTACTGCTTATAAAACTGATATGACACGCCATGGCAGAACTCACACTGGCGAAAAACCCTTCCTGTGTAAAATTTGTCTTAGGCGCTTTTCTCAAAAAGTTCATTTGATGAGACATACTATTACAACTCATACGAAACCGAATTTCTTCTGATTTAAAGTAGTTGCATGTATTATTTATGAAAAATATTTGCAACCAAGTCATTTTCGATTTATGGTTAAAAAAAAGATTTTATGTATAAAAACAAAATAAAAAATGCAAAGTTTTAAAAAAATATTTAGAATATATAATATATTGATAGCCAATTACATAAATGTTTCTGTTTGATTTCTCTCTCAATACAAATATGCCTATTTTTCTGATTTTTTAAAATAATGGTCAATTTATTTCCATTTTCTTTTTTTACTTTTGTGAGCAACTGACTTGCATATATAAAGCAACATTTAATTTATTTATTTTTTTACATTATCCAGGATTTTGTTGGTGATTGTATTTGCACAGTGTCAAGTAATTTATTTTACAATTAAAAATGTAAAATACTTTTCTTAATCATATGTACACAGCTGCCAAAGAATATAAAACGGAGAAGAAGTGTAGTTCTTTAAATACTCTTCTAACATGAGGAACTGCTCAGTACAGCATGCTAAACCAGAAAACAGCTTACCGAGCAAGGAAGATACTCAGGTATAGCAGAGCGTCATATGTACTAAGATCCAGCGCATAACAAACAAGGTGACAGTCAGAAAATGCGTCACCTGTAAGCTGGTTTGTTATAGAATATCTTAATTCATAGTTAGGAACTGTTCATAAATAGTTCAAAAATGCAGAAAAAAGCAACAATAAATAAAAAGAGAGCTTTTCACCTCCTCCACTACCCATTCTCCGCTCCAGTAGAGGTTGGGAGGAGAGGAGAGTGAAAACCTACTTCAAAAATTTATGCTGTTGTGCCCCTAAATGTTGTTTTTTCCTTCACACATAACCACTCCAACCTTTGGAGGACCTGTTTACTTTATGTCTATGAAAGCTAGCCTTCTTCCTCCATACATATTCTTTACAGCTATCGTATTTCACTTAACAACTTTTTTTAAAAATATCATTCTTACTGCATTAAGTAATGTATATTACCAGGTTGAGTAGTCTATGCCCAAGTTGAACTTGTGAGATTATCTTTCTCACGCATTAAAAAAATTACTGTCAATCCCTATGAAATGTTTGGCATTTGCACGGTTTGCCATCAATATATTCTATTAAAAAAATGTGTGTCTAAGGAGTCTAGATGTGTCAAAGAAAAAAAAGTCTATTGCTGTTCCTGTTAATTCCTTTACTGATGTTACATGAATATTGTTAGTATAAATTTTTATTTTATTAGGAAAAAATATTAATTTAAATTTCCTTTTTTTAGTGTTATGATGCACACATATTGTTAGAAGTTGATTTTTTTACATTGCTAAGATAATGGGATCACTTATTGTAACTTCATTTTTCAGTCTTTTTCAGAAAACATAGAATACACCAATGTACTTTTTGCTGTTACTCAACTGTTTGGAAGGCAGATTTAAACAAGCACATCAGAACACACACTGGCGATAAACCATTTGTGTGTGAAATTTGTAACAAACGATTCATCCAAAAATCTCATTTGCAGAGTCATTTGGTGCGCATTCATAAGGAATATTTCTGCCCACCTGTGTAAATTGCAAGTTCCCTTCATTATTAATTCAAGAAGAAAATATTTTGTCATAGTGTAGGGATGCTTCATTTTTTTATTGATAAAATTTCTTTTTCTTAAAACATTATATTAGAATTGTGTATATGTATAAATGTAATGTGTGTGGGCATAATGTATACTAAGATTGTACATTTTATATTAAATCGAAATAAAATATTAAATTTTATGTCTGATATTTTGATGGTTTTTAAATTAATGAAACCAATACTGTTTATATTATATTTATATATTTTAGAATCTTTTCTCATCTAAAGTTAAACTTAGCTATTACAATAATTCATGTTTTCTTGATTTTCATATGTGACAAGCAATAACTTAACACATACACTATAATTCAAATGTTCATGAAAATATTAAGTTAAACATTCAAATTAAGAGGAAACTATTAGTATAGGAACCTATAACATACTTTCAAAAAAAATTAAAGTGATGACAGACTGTCTAATCAACTGAATAATTTTTTAAATCCCTGGAAAACCTGAAAATGCCAGGAAAATTTTATGTTTTTGAAAAAACCAAAAAAATCTTTAATTTCTTAGTAAAAAATATTTAATATCAGGAAGAAAAACCTATTTCTTTAATCCTCTCTTCTAGCAAAAGAAAATTTTCCTAATTCCTGCGTATTTAGAAAAGCACAATAAGTTAAAATTGTTTTTTTATTTGAAAAAGAATATTGCTGTTTTATATCTCTGTGAATGTTCATAATAAAAATAAGGAAAAAATCAAAAGATACTGTTTAAGTATACTTATAAAAAAATATATAAATTACAATTTCATTTTAGTATTTTTTCCAAAAGTTTTCTTAATCTGTTTTTTTTATGAACATTTACTAATTGCATTTTTTATGGAAATTTTTAATTTACATTTTCTTTCTTAGTAAAAATGTAAGAAAAAATATAATGTTATTTGAACTTTTAAAAGTTCAATTTAAATTCGTCTGATTGATTTTATGTGTTAAATATTTTACTAGCTAGTAAATTTTAAAAAATATTGAGAAAATTTTTTTGTTTTTTTAAATTTTAATTTGAAAATTTAAAAGAGTTACTGTTATTTCTTTTAGAACTTTGCCAGATAATATTGCCTTAAAGCAAAGCTGTATGAATTTCACAAAACTGTCTGCTGTCATCTACTAATATTTTGTTCCATTCCCTGCTCAAAATTTTTTAGGGATACCCAAAGTGGTTTAGCGAAACTCTTGTGTCCAATTTAGACTGAACAGAAATTCATCGATTCAAGTCTAGTTAATAAGGTGGCCATTCTTGTGCTATTTATAAATCAAAATAAAGTGAAACTGAAGTTGTACGTAGCAAAACATAACACAGTAAAGTGTTATGTTTTGTCAAACTCATAACACTTTAAAATAATAAAGAAATCATATTTAGGGTTTTTTTTTTCAAATGTGTAAGGAAAATTATAATAGAATCATTTTTTTTTTCCAAAATTAGAAATGTTGCAATAATCAGAATCCTATGTTTTTCCCAGCACAAGTGTATTTTTGTCTTCTGAGTAGATCCTGCTAAGATGGTAAATTAATATTTAACTGATTTATTTCAGGGTTAAAAAATGTAACGTGAAGCAACTAATGTTTTTTTTTTAACTTCTGGTTTGTTTTTATTTTAAAGTATGTCAAGCATTTTTTTTCATGTTGCAGGATATTCAAAAAATAGCAGAGGATATCAATGCAGCTTTTGCAGGTTCTCAAGTTATCAGAAGATTGATGTAACCCGTCATGTCAGAATTCACACAGGAGAAAAACCCTTTCAGTGTGGAACTTGTAGAAAACGTTTTGTGCAGAAATCTCATTTGCAAAGTCATATGTTAACACACTTTAAAAAGAAATTTTTGTAATCGTTACAACTATCATTTCTTTCAGAAATGTTCTGATATTTTATAATTTTTAACCTCTAATCATTTTTTGTTTGTTTTTGTAAATAAAACTGAATTGTTTATTAAAAGTTTTATTCCTAGTTCCTGCATTTATTTATGAGAAATGTCCAATCTTGAAGTTGAAAATTGTGATGACACCAGAAAAACAGTAACTATAGCAGCACTGTCATTTGAGATAATAAAGGAAAGATGAGTGCACCACAAACTGCTCATGAGTGGGTCGTCCCACTCATTTCAGAGTATTTAAAGTGAACTAAATTAAAGTTGGAACTAAGGAAGAGGTGTTGATGACAGAACAATATGCAGCAGTTTTATTTTTGGGAACAAAAGGGGAGTTTTTTTGTGGATATATTTCATCAGTTGTTTTTGTTTATGAACAAACTAGGATAACGTCAAGAACAAGTGGCTGTGTCTTAATGATATTTGTAGTGTGTTCCATAGTGTACTGATTATAAGGTACAGCTCCCAATAGATCATTGAAGGCAAGCATCATTAGCAGTGGTCAGAGTGGGGGTATATGATAACTTTGATCAGTCTGCAAAGGGATCAAGAGTGAAGGTATTAGTTATACTGTTGTTGCTCATTTATTTTTAACTCCACGTGCAGGTTTTAGGCTACCAAAGTGGAGGAGCCTCCCTCTCTAGCCATGATAGCCCATTCCATGCCATGTTAGCCTATCCTCTCTAACGTAGTCTTCTCTAGTCATACCCCCACTTCTTTGATGCCATCACATCAGTCTAGTGATGGCATGCCAGTTGGATTATACTCAGGAACATTTCTTCAAATCTCTTTGATATCTTAATGTGCAGCTCAATTGCAGCATAAATAAAATGCTACAGTGTTGCACTTCTCTTGCTCATGTGTAATTCTAAAGGGTGCATTGCTATACCTACTGTATTTCTACAGCTATCACTCATGTCGATTTGAGTATTTTTTTATCTTTATTTTATTTACATCATCTGTAAATGCCCTTGATGTTAAAAATAAATGTCTGTGGTATAAAAGTTTTAATAGTTTTTAATTATTATACATCTAGTCTCTCTTTTCATTTTTCAGCCTTTTCAAAGAGACCCGAGAAGTATCAGTGCACTTATTGTGATTACTCCACTATCTGGAAGACATCGTTTACCAGACACCTCAGGTGTCATACTGGTGAAAAACCCTTTCAATGTACTTTTTGTAGCAAGTGTTTCAGCCTGAAGTCTACTTTAAAAAATCATATGCTTATCCATTACAGGAAACATTTGATACGATATGATAATGTTTGAAAATACTTTTTCAGAATATTTTTTTTATATGTAGCATATGAAATAAATGTTTTTCTTCAAATTACAAACGTTATAAAATCTACAATTGTAAAACTACTTTTCCATACAAATAACTAATATTTGCTTATAAACACTTTTGTAAAAATTTCTTGCACTTTTTATTTTTAAGTATAGAAAAGACTATCAATATTTCTTTTAACTTATTCCTTCTGTTTTTCCTCAACTGAGTACTTTTATTTGTTTGTACTTTACTTGTTGCTGTTGCTTTAGTTAGATTGGTGTGTCTTCTTTCTGACAAAATCACTGTGTTCACTTCTTGACTGTCTCATTAAAAGTAAAAAAATTCTTTAAACTAGATTGGTACATCCTTTATATTTGTACATATATATTTATTTATTTATAAATTTTTTTTCTTTCAATTGTTGAATTCATAATAACTTTACAAACCAAGTTTTTTATAAATAGGTATGTTTTGGTTTCAGTTAATGCAAAAGTTAAGTTATTCTCATAATTATTTTGCTCATAAGAATGTTTTCAATTGCTACTTAATTAACAAAAATTACTGAGAAAGGTTTTCGATTTTCGAGTTTGTTCCAGCTAGATTTTAAAGTTATTTTTTGCTTTTGAAGACTAATTTACGAACTTAGTGTAAAAGCATGTTACCTTGCATAGATAGAAATCAATTGTAGAAAAATCAACCCCAGATTATATAGAACTATCCAGAAGCTATTTATAAACATCCCCTTTACATTAGAAATCCTTTTTATTTTAGTGATTTAAAAGAAAAAATTTTGGTTCTATAAATTTTTTCCCAACTGTAGTTTTAAGTTTTTCAGTGATTTTATCCGCTGAACTTTTCTTATGTTTTCTTTATTCCTTTTTGTATTACATATCATTTTATTAATTGTGATTTTAATGAGTTGTGATTAGTTATTTGATTTTTATTAATTGTGTTGTCACTTTTAAATGCAATACCATCTCTGCAGTTGTTTTAAAAAGTTACTTAATAAATAATTATTTCTCAAGTGATGAATTTCTAAATTCTGATTTGTGATTCATGACCAAATTAAAATTGGTTGAATAATCGTTACACTTTCAATGATTTATATTTTTTGAACGATTTATATATTCATATTAGGATATTTTACGTTAGCACTGTGGTCACTTCGAGCCAGGAACAGAATTAGTATCAACTGGGATTTGAACCTCTATACCCTATGCATCTCCTGCTCTGCATAATCTATTTTTTAGCCAAGGACTCACAATTTAAGAAGTGGAGGGTAAGACTTCACAATTTCAAGACGAAGAGTGTATGGTAGTGTCAATATGACAAGAAATTGTGCACTGACTGCCTTCCCTCTTACGCAAACTTGATCTGAAGCTGGGTGAGCTTCGAGCAGCCTTAAAAGATAGAACCTTCCCAATGATAATTCTGTGCTACTTTGGCCCTATGCCATTAATAAAAAACTTATTAAATGTAACAAAGTATTTATTTGCTTTAAATACATCCAAAATATGATGCAATCAAAATAAAAGGAATGAGCTAATTTTGTACCATTTGGACCATGTCACTACCCAAAGAACATTTCTAGCCAATTTTTAAAAATTTGCAATTTTTGCTTCCTTTATCATCGGTTGATGTAATTTTTTTCAAAAGCAAATAGTACACTTTCTTTCTTGCAAAGTACAGAATTTATTTCTTCAACAGTATATATATAACTCAGAACTTGGTTGCACGATAGCCCATAGAAAGCCAAGGCCAACTGTGCCCGCCTTAGTTTTCTTGACCATAGGCTTTTGGGTGCAAGAGCAGTTGTTCCAGTTGGGTGGTCAGCCGAACCTCGTAACCCCAAGTGTTTAGTTCCCAAACATGTTGGTCCTCATTTTATCGACCCACTAAAGGGGTGAAAGGCTGAGTCAAAGGTCTTGCCTGGCCCTAGGATCGAACCGAGAACCTTTGACACGAGAGTGCAAAACACTACCACTCAGCCACCGAGCTTCATATATATATAAATATATGTGAATATATATATGTGTGTGTATATATTTATGAATATATATATATAAATAAAAACTTTATTTCCTTTTTCATGTACTAAATCCTGTTAACAACAGTAAATTCCTCTTCTTCAGTCCAATCTTCTTTATATGTTAATATCTGTCAATATTTTAGGATTCAGACAGGAAGTCAAGATTTTTCAATGTCAGAACTGCAGTTATTCCACTTTTTTTAAGGCTGATCTTGTCAAGCATATCAGAACGCACACGGGTGAAAAACCGTATTCATGTGACATTTGTGGAAGATTCTTCACTGTTAAGTCCAATCTGCTGCGTCACCAAGTCAATTCATGCATCAAGAAACTATTGTGATACAGACAATATATTCTTTATTCATATTTATTACTATCTTCAATTAACTATTATTTCTACACTTTTTAAGTGTTAAGCAGCAAACCAATGTTGGTTTCTTTGCCTATGCATGAGTTATGATTGAATTATTGTTACTTTTGTTGTTTTTATGCTTCCCTTAAGATGCATAAATTGAACAAAAGAATTCAGGCTTATCATTATTATTTGTGCAAATATAAAAAAATTCATTACAATTGAGATATGAAGTATGTAAATAGGTTTAAATTGTTAAAAATATTATAAATAGGAGAAAAAAATTCTTGTCAACTGTAAGAAATTTACCTTACATTAAAACAAGCCTTACTTACATTACAGCCCTATTAATGTCACATTAACCTTAAAAAATAACTAAAAAAACTTTTGCAGGAATTTTTCTATGTGACCTATTTATCGATTTTCCCTGCTTTGTGAAAAGTAAAAATTTAATTTCCTTTTCTATTTAGTATCATCGTTTCTGCTGTACATCAAAGTACTTGTATCAATAATACATAATTATTCTGTATATTAACCAAATAATAGTTTAAAAATAATCTCTTTTTCCATATTAAAAAAAATGTAAAAAGGATTAATATTTTAGTTTGTTGTATTAAAAAACTAAATTAATAATCACAAATTTGTTGAAATGTAGGTTAATTTGTTGTACAAAAAGCTCTAAAAGAAACTAAAATGAGGCAAAATTCAGGCAACATGTCTTGAGTGTTGATGACGTGAACGAAAAAATGTGGTTAAATGAAGGTTTGTTTCAACAAAAGTTTGTCTTTCCATTTGGCTCTTAATAAGGAATGTGTTTAAACATTCGAAATATGTTGACTGTCTTCATTTGTTGAGAGTATTTGAAGTTTTTGTTTATTAATTAGTAAACTAAACCCTACAGTAGTGCTTTAATTAATTTATAACTGTTATTCAGTCATTATAACTATATTTTGTTTTTCAAAATGTCATATTTTACCGTAAGAACTATATCGGTAGCTGTTAATATATTTATTTTAATTGTATATCAATAACTATTCTCAAATGATTTAATACATAATAATTATTTTGTATAAAATAGCTTTAGTTTTATACGTTTTTTCAAATTAAAGCATATTGATTTCAAGTTTTTAAAAATTGAATGAAAGTTTTTTTTGTAATATCTTACATGCAATTTTGAGCATATTATTGATCTCAATAAAAATAGTTATGTAAATGTTTGTCTGAAGATTTTAATTGCTTAGCTCAATTTTTAATGTTACTTATTTGAATATACATTCAAACAAAGCTATTTCAAACTTGTTTATCTTGAAAATCTGAAGAAAATTAATTTTTTCCCCTCCATATTCATTTGAAACAAATTCATAGCATTATTATGCTTCTCTTACATGCATTTTAAGAGAAAACCAAATTTAACAAAGGCATAGAGAGAACTTGTTTTAAGGAGGGAACTCTGAAAAAGTGAAAGGAAATAATATTCTAGCTTTTTTTTTTTCATATTTTTACCAACCAAACATTTTATGATATTTAAATGAAAAAATATGTATTTAGCATATTTTGAGTAGAAAATTTTAGCCACTTATTTTAAGTTGTGAGAAATAGAAAGGCGTTTTTTTTCTGGAATTTGTTGGGGGGGGGGAATGAAATTATTATTTAGCAAAGAAAAAAATTCCATATTTTACACACATATGTTTTTGATTTTTTTTTTTACATAGACATTCTAACTTAATTTTTATTTAAAAAATAGCGATATAAATAGGGAAAGACGCTTATGGACTAAAAGATAAAAACTATTTTCCTTTTTTATACATATATTTATTTATTTTAAGAGTGTCACAGCCATGCCATTGAGTCAAATATCTTTTTAAGAAATCTAGGGAGGAAACCTGGAAAGACTTCTGTGGCTCCCAACTGGAATAAAACCAAGCAACTTAAGGTTTAAAAACAAGACAACTGTGGAAAGTGTGTACACGACCAACTATGATAAATGGAGAAGATTAACATAGTTGCTATAGCTAATTGTTCTTCATAATTTTACTCTCATATTTTATTTGAATATTTTTTTGTTTTGTTTTCTGAGATCACTTCTAAAATACAAAGCAGTTAAATATTAAGGCTGTTCATCTTTAATGAGAAAATAAAATGTTATTATAGAAAAAAAATTTAAATTCTCTCTTATGACATATATGACCAAGCTTCAAGCCCCGTCTATAGCTGGTATAAAGATAATATGGCATGTATTTTAAACAAGTATGGCATTAAAGAATAAAATGCTCACAATAAGGCATTTTAATCACAATAAGGCACTTTAATACTAAGCCAATCATAAACTAAAGCTTATATAGCATTTGAATATTAAATGCTCACTTCTTATGCATTGTTTTGATTTCCAAGCCCCAACTGAAGTTGATGTAAAATATCCCAAAGAATAAAATCATAATCATTCATTGCTGTTAAAAACCTTAAGAGCTTCCAATGTTTGGCTTAAGCTTTCCATATTCAAAATGATTAAGATTCAAAACTCATTGACTGAATAAGATAGACTAAAAAAAAGTTTGCCATACATTTATATTTATTTTCCTTTTAACTGTTTCTTTTAAAATTTTGTATATTCACCTGATTGCTTGGATTTACTTTTATTTCAATGTTTCAGGATTGCAGAAAGGATTCAAGATTTATCAATGTCAGCGTTGCAAATATTTCAGTTATTTTAAAGCAGACCTTGTCAAGCATAATAGAACACACACTGGGGAGAAACCTTATTCATGTGACGTTTGTGGAACTTCTTTCACTCAAAATTCAAGTTTGTTGCGCCATAAAGCAACATCATGTTGGAAAACCAAGTTATACTGATTTCTTTTTGATACTCATGATTTATGAAAAACTCATAGAAGTACAGTGTAAATAAAATGAATTATTTGCATGAAATAAAAATTTTTGAATGCTATTTCTGTTTTAACTATATATAACTCTTATTGCATATGTGAGATCTAAAAAATCATATATTTTATGTTAACGGGGTAAACATTGATTTATTCATCATACTTTTATATTTTTTACTTTAAACTGTATATTTTTGTTATAAAATTACTATGTTGAGACATTCTATTTTATTTCTTTTAACTGCAAAATTTCAATCTTCCTGAGTAAGCGTAAGCACTTAAACGTTAAAAAATCCTGGATTATTTTAAGGAAAAAATATATTTAAGTTAATATTTGATTATTGGATTTAAACATTCATTTATTGTTATTATGAAAAATCATTTTACTATATTATACTTCATTTTCCTTTTATTTTTCTGAAAGAGAAAAAAAACAACTTATAATTCTATCTCTGAACTTGATTTTTTTTTAATAACTGTGATTAATGTCGCTGATCATGCAATATTCTATAAAAGCCGATCTTCATTGTTGCAAGTATATTCAAAGTTTACATTAGAAATAATATTTATTTATGAATTACAATTACTAGAATTATGATTATCAATAATAATTGTTTGCCCAGTTATTTATTTTAATGCTTTAGCTTTTTTTTATTATCTCTTGTTGCATAATCTCTTTAAAATGAGCACGTAGATTCAAGCAGCTTGGGCTGAAAATATTTTCATGTAAATACTTTTCTACTGAATAATATGGTGATAAAATAGATTAGTTATTCAGTAAGGTTGCCAGATACCACAAACATAGTTTGCACCGAAATTTATTTTTTTAAAGAAAACGAATTAGCATTATGCCTTTTAAAACCAATCCAAAATTCAGTTTGGAGATGGTTTGTGGGTAAAAATTAATGTTTTCCTAATTCTTTTAAATGATATTTTAAATCGTTATTTTATTGGTTGTAAAATTTTACATTAATGTCTGGTGTTAAAATGTCTTTTGTTTTTTACCGTCATATGCACTGCTATCATTTCATCATGCTTGAATTTGTTCTGCATACTATTTTTTAGGAATCAGAAATAAAAAGAAGTATCATCACTGCCTTTATTGCCGCTATTCAGCCTATTCAAAAACAGACGTCACTAGACACAGTAGAGTTCATACTGGAGAAAAACCTTTTTCATGCGATGCCTGTGGGAAATGCTTCTCTCAAAAATCATCCATGTTGCGACATTCACTCACACATCATTGTTGAAATATTTATGTTTTACATGTGTGCCATCATTTTATTTTTGATACTGAATGGCTCAAATTGTTTCACTTATAGTTAAGTTAGCTGTTTTACATTGTTGTGCCACCATTTTTATAAACAAATATGGCCCTGCACGCCAGTTGAATCTAACAACCATGGTGCTACATCTCATGTCACTTGTATCATTTGAACCAAATTGTTTGTTTATCTATATTGTGATGCGAAATATAACAGTCGAATTTTGACTCAAAGGAAAAAATCATTGAAGGGGAGAATAAATTTTTTAAGTTTTAAAATTCCCTTCCTGTAAACATTTCTTGTTGGGAAACTAATGATAGTTTTTTCTATAAATCCAATATCTATTAAAAAATTTCATTTTATTTTTACATATAATTTCTTAAATATAATTTGTTCTACTCTTAAAGCATGCCTATGAGCTTTAAATGTTAATCAAGCCTTGAATTGAAATAATTTTGTTAAACATGGAATTGAAATAAGTTTGTTAAACATCAAATTAAATTTTTTTTTTATTTAAAAAACAGCTTTTTCATAACTGCTACTATTGTTGTCAATTATACTTCTGTACCCCACTTAATTTATCCATTACTGTTTTTTTGTTTGCACAATGTAAATGCATCAAAAAATCTATTTTGAAATAGAAATGTTAGTAAATTAATGTTAAGGAAATTCATACAACTTTTGTTTTGTTCCTTATAATATGTGCTAAATGTGCAGCATTTTTTACCGAAATTTGTAAAATGTAGTTTTTTATGGTAACAATTAAAGTAATATTGTTTTATGTTCAACAAGGAGAATAATTATTATCTAAGTTTGCTTTTTATCTCAGTTCCTTTCCACCTGCTGTTTCTTTATTTTTTTTTTAAGACTAGTAAGAGTTTATACAGAAAATGATATTGCAAGTATACTATGCTGGCAGAGTTATCAATTTCATATTGACTGTACTAGTTTTTTTTGTTTTGCTAGTACGAAAATACATGTAAAGAAGTATTCATACATTAGGAGAAGTTCAGAACAAAACCTGATGTGTTTGAATTATTAAAAATAAAAGGATAGAGTTAATTTAGACCTAGATTGATTGCCAACAATATTTATAAATTATATTGGACTTGCTATGAAAAATTATTGGAATTTTTCGAAAATTTTTAAAAATTTTTCCATAAAAAGCTTGTTGTAGATTTCAGAGAAAACACCCTATTCTAAACGTACTGATAACGAGAAATTAGTTAGCTTAAAAATACAAGTAAGTCTGTTAAATGAACCCAGGAAACGGAAGATATTTCTTGATTAAAAACTTCATTCACTTTTAAAATGTACAAATTGGAAAAAAATTTTCAGGTACTACTCAAAAATAGGTGCATGTATGAGAAGAAACAAAAGTAACTAGAAATATAAAACATAATGTTACCTTCGAAAAATAAAGATGAGAAACAAAACTAAAAAAACCTCAGTAACTGAGATAGAAAAAAGCAGAACTAAGAAGTCATAGAGGACAAGATAGGCTTATTAGGGTAAAATGAATTTCTGTGCTATTATGGAGAAGTAGGGCGGATCTAATGTCGTTAGCAAGTGAATCAGCGTCCATATGAATAAAACAAGATTCCAGGGCATCAAGATTAGCTGGTGTAACTAGGGTGGAAATAATTTTGGCATTGTTGAAATTGAATTCATGCCCAAGAATCCAACAATACTCAGCAATTGATAATTTCTCATATTCTGGATAGCGGACATTGATTAAACCTAAGTTTTAAGTTGCTTTATAATTTGTCCAAGGCTGCATTGGCAAAGAATGTGGTAAATTCCCCAACAATTATAAAAAATTCAATAAAGATCTGAAGTTTTTAATCAAGTAAGGCAAGTAAATCTATTCATGGAACTTGTAGATTTGAACATTCACACATTTTAGTGTAATTTTTAAAGAGGACATTAGACTTCATCGCAAATTTTTTTATTAATAAAATGTATGGGATTGTGTTACTTCAGGTCATCAATTTCATGTTTGATGATCTCATCTTTTTTGTATGCTTAAATTTAATAAACTTATGGGCAGTTTTGAAGCTTTTATAGTAGTTATAAATCAAAGAGAAATTGCGACAAAATGTTGTCACACATTTTCTACTGGGTTTGTGCAAATGCAGCACTATGTTTAAAAGAGTAATTTTGTGTTCTTTTTATAATGAAATATAAGTGTATAAAGTTGAAATGTTATATCTTAAACAAATTTCGTTTTAATTTTGGTCTTTAATATGTTAAATAAATAGGGTAATCATCCATTACTGATGTGATCCATGATTTTAATTTTGGCCTTTAATAGGTTAAATAAATAGGGCATTCATCCATTACTGATGTTCAACAGATTTTGTCTGATAAAACAAAAAATAAAATCATTGAAATAAAAAAAAAATTTAATTAGTTTGTCTTCTTTTCTGTCATTGAAATTTTCATGCTACTCTTGTTTTGTCTCTTAATAAACTATTTTAAAAACCAATGCACTATTTTAGAAAAAAGTCTTTAAAAATTCTTTCTTTTCCTTGTGATTTCGGAAAAAAAACTTAAAATCCTTTTGAATTACGATTTAGAGACAGATTTGTTAATATATCAGTAAATTTATCTCCAACTAGTAAATTATTCCAATATGTTGCTTTGAAACACAATTTTATTTTAATTAATAAAAATTGCAGAATTATTAAGTAAAAAAAAATAACTCTTCAAGTGTTGAGCACTTGGTTTAAATTCTACCGAATTTCCCTTTTTTGCATTACTTTCGTATTTAATAATATGACAAACTGCTTTTTTGATGCCTGAAGGCCTGCATTTGAAAAATTTTCAAAAATTTGTATTTACACTCAAAGATTTAAAATAATTTTTAATGTAATAGTTATTTTATAAATGAGTTAGTTAAGTTTGTAGTAATTCTTGGTCAGAGTACGCGATCGTAAAAAAAAATTTAATATGTTATTTTTACATTAAAGGGACATTATCTTTATTTATCATACAAATGCAGTTTCTGTCTCAGCAATAGTTTTCTTTTTATTACTACTTTATGTGCTTTGCCAATGTCATAATTGTATATAATTAATCCTTTTTTATTACTATTAATAAAAAAAATCTTCAATGTTCTGCTCATTGACTTAGTTATAAGATTAAAATTTTAAATAATTATCAAATTATTGCATTATTTTTTGTTACATTATAGCTATCTATAAGTTTTCAAATGAACTAATATTCATAATTCTAGATTGACTAAATATACTGTGCCTCTCATGCTAATTTTGTAGTTGATATATAGTTTATGCAGTTCATGCACTGTAACTATTCTAATTATATTAATTTTCTTTTGTGTTTCTTATTTTTAGAATTTCTGGATAAACCAAAGCCTTTTCACTGTCAATTCTGCAATTATTCGTCTCATTATAAAGGAGATGTCAAAAGGCATGCTCGTACGCATACCGGTGAAAGACCTTTTTCGTGTACTATCTGTGGAAAACGATTCACCCAAAAATCTTCAATGCTGCGACATGCACACACACATTTTTGTTAAAAAAAAGTTGTTTTATGTACCATCATTTTATTTTTATACACTGGAGAACCCAAAACTTTTCCTATGGCCTCAAATAATTTAAATATATATCGTTCAATATGATGTCATACACTGATATAATCCTACAAACAGCTTGCTGGAATGTAGGCATATTGTCACGGCATCACTTGAACTAAGCTGTCTGTTTTCCTATATTGTGACCCTAAATATAATTTTATTAATGGTATTTTTACTAGTAATTTTTTTAAATTGCAAGGTAGATTAAATTTTTTAAGTTTAAAAACCTTTTCCAGAAAATTTTCTTGCTGTGCTACTAGTATTTATTATTTTTTCATACTTATAACAAAATATTCATTTAAAGTTCCATTTCATTTAGTTTCCATAATTCAATAGCTACTTCTACTAACTATTCTTATGAGCTACTAATATTACATTTTTATTAAACATGAATTAAAATAGTTTGTTTTTCAGTTAATTTCTTTATTGTTTAGCTTAGAATCATGTTCAATAATATTTTTGTGACATGGATACCCCCTCCCCCCCGTTGTTAAAAAAATAGAGACCATTTGCGATGTTTAACAGATTTTGTCTAATATTTAAAAAAATTGGGAAATAAAAGTTGTTAAAAAAATAGCCTATGTCTGCCTTTTTAATCACTGAAATTGCTTTATCTCTCCCATTTTGCATCTTAAAAATTTATTCAAAAATAATGCATCAATTTTAATGAAAGTTTTTGTGAAAAATATTAGTATTTCTTTATATTGACTTTAAATGAAATTAAATTCCTTTGTATTACAATATAGACAGAATTTTTAATTTATCAATAAATTTATTCCCAAAATTAACAATAACAATATTGAGTTTAAAAACTCAACTTTATTTTTAATATTAAAAATTGATAAATATTAAAAAAAGGAAAGTATACTGTTTGTAATAATTACCAAACATATGGACTAATTAAGATTGCAGTAAATGTTGGCGAGAGTATGTAAGCATAAAAGGTTTCAATTCTTTGTTCTAAATTTTTACATTGTTGTGATAATATTTTAATATATTGTATGAGAGCAATTACTATTCTCTCCTGAAGGTTTCACTTTTACGCATTGCACTATTACTTTGTAATTATTGCTATATATAGATGTTTCTTCATTTGTACTGTTTGTCTAAGATAGATACTCTGCCAGACATTCGTCTGGAGCTGTGGCGGTGACTATGGTAACGAGGTATGATTATTTTAAGTAGGGGTGCGTGGTCCCTCTCTAGGACTGGTTTCGGAAGAGAAAAGGAGACCTCTTCATCGAAGCTAACCTCCCTAAAATGTTCTCTTCTTGTTTCTATAGCATCAGACTGCGCAGACTTAGTATCGGTCAGAGTACCAAACTTAGACAAACAGTATGTGTCAATGTAAATATTTTCATCATTCTGTTTATTAGCTTAATCAATAAGAATTTAAACTACTGAATGTATATCACTTTCTCTTTTTTCATTATTAAGCTATTTTATTGTAGTTTTTCATGAGTTGTTTAACTAACCAATGTTCATACCTAAATATACTATGGCACTTATTTATTTTTCTTAAATTTTATGCAGTCCATAGACTTGTCTACTCTAATCATAGAATTTTCTTTTGTGTGTTTATTTCTTTAGGACTTCTACGGAAACCAAAGCCTTATCACTGTCAATTATGCAATTATTCATCACATTATAAAGGAGATGTCAACAGGCATGCCCGTACGCATACTGGTGAAAGACCTTATTCTTGTAACACTTGTGGAAAAAACTTTACAGCAAAGTCCTCACTGATGCGCCATTCATACATTAATCATTGAGAGAATTTTTGTGTTCTTAATGAAAAAACTCTCATAGATTCCAGTTTCATTTTTCAAAATTTTATAAATTCATTTTTATTTATGGTAATTTTTTAGATTTGAAAAAAAATGCAAAAAGACATGTTTTGTGATGTTATCTCATGATTTTTATTTTATATCCGTCGTCGAACAGCGGACCCAATTTTGGGTTTACGACTCCTGGTGTTCAACTAAGTAGCGTTGTAATTTTGAACCAATCCAGAAGACAAGGAATCTCCTGGATCAGTACCCCCAGAGGTTTGATTTGCTATGGGAACATGGAGGACTTTAAGACTCGACAGATTTAATGTGCATCCGTCACCATTTACTACAAGAGGAGTCTTCGGCTGGCCTGGGATGGAACCCACGAACTCTTGGACTTGGGTCCAGTGCCCTACCAACCAGGCTATCCCGGCCGTTATCTCATGATTGTGATTACCACTACAACTGATTTTATACTTGTGCATATTTGAGCATTGCTTCCTTGAGTAATATGTGAGAAAACTGGCTTTCTTTGCTAACAGTTAAAGAGTTGTGTGTTGTTCAAGCGTTGTGCCTTGTTGTTCAATTTTATTTTAATATTCACAAAGAATACTCATAAAAAATTTCTTCCCAAATGAAGTCTAATGATTGGAATAAATAATTATTTGACGTTTCTCATTTATGTATTTTATAAAGTTTATTTAGCTATTTGATTGATAAATGTTTATATATAAATGTATACATACTGATTAATTTACATTATTTATACATCTTTAAAATCTTGATTTGCTCAAATTTTGCATTTTAAATATCATTAATATCATTTTCCACATTAATTGATTGAATGTTTGCTTTCAAAAGAATCGTTTTTCTGTAATTGTGCATTTTAAATGCTGAAAAAAATTAAATTTCAGTTAAAAAGTTTTTAAAATTGTTCATAAAAGGTAGAAAAAGCATTTTACTTTCTTCATGTTAACGTACCAAAAATTACATGAACTCAGTTTATTTTTTATTAAGTACCAAATTAATCTCTTTTTTCCATTTTAATCAATAAAATGTGTTCTATTGAACCTATATTTACCATTTTTAAAATTTTAAGAACTTTCAAATTTGGTTACAAATTGCTGCAACTAGGTTTAGTTGAATACATTACAATGAATGAAATAAATCAAAATCATTCAAAAATATTAATTAGTAACTTAAGGAATAAAGAGATTGAGTTCACATAATTCTTCCTTTATTAACTTGGAAATTCTACCTTTTCTATCTATAAAATATAATATCTTATAAGCTATACAAAATTAATTTTAGAATATAAACTCGAAATACATTACATTTTCTTTAATTTTAGTCTGTATAATGACGAAAATGTGATTTGATGTTAAATAAAACTACCATATATTTCCAAACATAAGACGAAAAGTTTTGGAAAGCTTAAGTTGGGGTGGATCAGCTTATAATCTAATCTGCTAATTTTGAAAAACTCCACACACACAACGCCAATAAAAATTCTTTTTCATTGATCGAGTATTAGAGTTAAATCACTGAATATCATGAAATGGCTCATATGAAACATATAAATTTATAAAATAACGCATTTGAAAAGAAAAGACGAAAAAGAAACGCATAGAAATGTCAATAGCAAAAGAATATTATTTTATTAAGACTTCTATCGCACTTTTTTCGTCATAAAACCGCAAATGAGCGCCACAAGTTTAATATGATACTTTCTGAGTTTAGATGCTCTTTCTCTGTTATTCTATGATTTACTTGAACTTTTTGTCAAACAATTTCCTGTTCACATCAATCAGGACTAGTAGGTTAAAAGACTTAAAAAGAAGAGAAGGGAAAACTGAAGTAGGAAGAAAATAATTTGTGGAACTTTCGATGGATTGTTATTTCTGGCCAAATGTAAACAAATAAATTAAGATGGTTAGATAGTCTGAAGGGGAAGTTGAAAATTACCATTATAAGTTGAAATTTACCATTAAAAGTTAGCTCTTTTTTTATCAGCTTAAATGGGATTTGAATTTTGGGTCAATTTTCAAAGAAAAAACCTCCCTGCTTATGATGAACTTATATTTGAAGATAGACCATAATTTCATTTATAAATGCTTTAAATTATATCGAACTCCCTTGAAAGGTTTTACTTCTAACTCAAACTATACTACTAAGAATAATATCAGTTTTTTTAAACTTTAGGATTTTTTCGGTAATAGGGCATTGACATTACGGCTATGTTACAAAATGTAACTTTTACTAACTTTTTTTTTTACATTTTAGGATTCCCGAAAAAAGTCAAGTTACATCATTGCCAGTTTTGCAGTTATTCATCCTTAATAAAGACAGACATAATCAGACACCATAGAACACATACTGGTGAAAAACCATTTTTTTGCTCATCCTGTGGTAAACGTTTTGCACAAAAGTCTCATATGCAACGCCATGCAATAACTCATCTTTACAAGTAATCATCATAAAGTTTTACTCTGTTATATACATGGTATATAACATGCTTTGGTTTACCTAAATGAGATTAAAAACCTTCTACACTTCATTGACAGATAATTAGGAGAACTGAATATGCCAAGAACTTGAGAATGTGTAAATTATATGAAAAGCATCATTGAAACCTCATATGAAATAAAGTTTAGATAATTATTTCTGTTTACTCATTCTCAGATCATTTCTGTTTACTCAAGTTTGAAATATTATTTAAACAAAGCACTTAAAGCCGATGAATAAAATAAAAGTTTTTGCAAACTATACTTTAAGTTAAAGTTTTACAATGATTGTAATGTTTCATCTATGTGGGTTCTTCTGCTAAAGATGTGCATTGTTACCCCAGCAAATATACAGTCAAACTCGTTTGTGACAAGATTGTAGATATTAAGACTGGTTAACTACCACTACGATTATTAAACATCAATTCACTAGTATATAAGACATGCTAGCTCGATTTCATCTTGGGGTACATTTTGATATATGACGATTTACATTGTCGATGACACTCTCCCCACGTTGGTGATCTATGGATGTGATATGAACTTACCTACAACGGAAGTAACTGTTAACTTGCTATATGTGACTGTGTCATCGACCTCCTTACGCTGTTGCTTCTCAATCTCATCTAGGCACAACAAGATCCTGCACACACTCGACTTCTAATAGCAACACAAAAGGGACCATACACATAACCGAGAACTTAATACAGCTCTCACCACAAGCGCTCAAAATCCAGTGAACTTAATACAGCTCTTATCATTGTCGATAAGACTCTCCCCACAAGATATATAGTCAAATTGCTGTACTGGTTTAAAAACTTGGTCAGATTCATACAACTTGAGGTGCATGTCACGAACATTTTTTTATGATAGAAATGTACTTGATTTCCCAGAAAACTGCACATCCTCCGATGTGGACGGTGCTGGTTTAATTGTTTTTTCTTCATTGTCAAATTTTGTGTTTCACAATTATTTTTCCAGGAGCATGCATGCAGACACAAAAGCATCAGTAAATATACAGTCTATTCAATTGTTTGCATAGCAACATCATCTGTTAGTCATCACATTTATGTGTTTTATGGCATGATATATAAGACACTTAACATTGTTCATCTATAAGTTTTAAACTAAATGAAAACTGAAATGCAATGAACTGTCAGATGCTCGTTATATGAAAGCTTTAATAAAATTAGATTCCTAGAAGTTCAGGAAAATTCTTCATGGAATTTGAGTTGTGCTTACAATAACAGGTTATGTATAAGCTTTTTAATATTAAATGAAGTATTTATTAACCCAGGTTATCATTAAATGAGGGCTTATATATATATATATGTATATATATATATACATAAAATTTTGTTATATCCTATACTGATTATTCAATAATGTGCAGTTGTAAAATTTAGTAGTAGAATTTATTTCTATTTCTAAGAAATGTAGAAATTGTATATTTTTTATGTGAAAAATAAAGATAAAAGTATTAAATATTTATTCAGCTTGTCCTTTCTAAAGCTTATGATGACTATAAAGCTGTTATTAAAAAGCTGTTTCGTCTGAAAGCTAGCTGATATGAAGCCCTATTATTATCTCTGATATTTACTTATGTATTGAAATTTTTAAAATATTTTTATATATATATATATATTTTTTTTAAATGCTGAACACTGCTATGTGAAAACATGCACATTTGAAAACAAAAAAATTATGTTATTTACCTAGAATTTTAAAACCTTACATTTTTTTATTACACATTTTTAAAACTGTCTAATATTATTTGTAAACTTAAGAATGTTCAACTATTAAATATCCCATGTTTACATTTAAACTTGAAAACAATCGACTTAATGATTTTTTGAATTGATTTTTTAAAAAACTTCAACATTTTTATAACTTTTTATTACACCTTTTTTTATCTTTAATTCTTGGAGCAAAACCTCAAATTTTGCTTTGTATTCCAATATAAGTTTTCTTTCATAATGCTGTAAATGTTTTGATAAATGCAATGCTTTGTGGAAGAATAAATTTTTTAGATTTAAGAACAAGTTATTTTAATTTGCTGATAAAATATCTTAATTTTTTCGACAGAGTTTTTAAGCAAAATAGTTTTCATTGTTAAATTGTTTTTGTAAACAGGATCCTGAAATGCCTGTACATTCTAAAACTGACTATCTCAAAGTCTTTTAAATATCACCTACTTTCAAAATGAGGAAATAAATTTAAGTTTTTACCATCCACTATTTTTCAATTTTCATTAAAATGTATTTCTTCCGATCTGTTTTGACCCATTGGCGGTTAAGGAAATGGGCAAAATTGGGAGAATGTTTCTCCCCTACACACAGTTCCCCTATCAGTTAACATGGGAAAACCGGTTTTGCTATGCAGAGAAGACTGCAGGTTAAAATGCGACTTTTTACGTGCCGAACCATCAGTGGGTTAAAGTCTCAATTATATTATAACAGAAAAATAAGCTATTATTTCTGAAGATTTTCAACATTAGATTCTAGAGTTTAATAATGAGTAAATGCTCATGATTAGACTCAAATAAATTTAAATAACTTTTGACGCAAATGCTCTAGAATTGAACTATAGTTTGTTTCAGCTGCCTATTACATATGTTTATATGTTCTCAATTTTAAAAATAAAAAGAATGAAATATAGATGCTGCTTCACTTGAAAATTTTCAAGAATTTAACTGAAAATTAAAGCTATATTTTTTTTTCTAGATATCAATTCCCTATACACATTATTGGAAGTTAATATTCCTGGTAGCAGTTCAACTTATAGTACCCAACTGTGCAATGTGTGCAAACATGCTACACATAACAAAGCTGACATGTTGAAGCATTTAAAAACACATAAAATTATGCTTAGCCTTTTTGTGTGTAAAATCTGCGGTGCAAAACTCACCAGTCGGTGTAATTTGCGTCGCCATGAAGCTAGACACTGGATGAGAGATATAAAAAATCAACAAAAGTAACACTTGTGGTTGAGGATTAAAAAATTTTCATATTCATTAATAATTCCAACATTAATTTTGCTTACATTTTATTTTATTTTTTTAAATTGATAAATTTTGTGTTTTGAAACCCATGTTGTTTTTTAATAAAATATTATTGTATTATTTTTTATTTGATATGATGCTAATTTTAATGCAAATGTAGGAATAAGCGAACTGCACAAGACAAAACCTGTCTAATTTTGGTTATAAAACCATTGACTACTTGTTGCTGATCATAAGCGAAGATGTTTTTGAATATCTGGTGTGTTTTTTGGAAAAAAATTCAAATCATTCATGAGATATTTAGTTACTGTATTTCATTGCTATAACTTTTAAGTGAATATTCTTTCATATATATTATCTGCCGGATTTTTTTAGTAATAACTGTTCTTATTTGTAGAATCTTTGTCAAAAATAAAGTGAAAAACATACATGTTAGGGTTTCAAATTGATATTTAAGCTGGAACGAAACAAAAAAGTAATGAAAATTAAATGAGAATGAAACATCAAAATCTGTTTTATTTGCAAAGGATAAAGAAGAGATGAAAATCATCAAAGCATATCCAAGCTTCATCAGGCAATCAAACTGGTTTTGATATTTTTCATTCCTACCTGCTCACTTTTGATTTGACAGGTTTAGATATAATTTTTATTTCTCTCTTGCCAAAATATTAATTTGTTGTGCCTGTTTATTTTTCTTTCATTTTGAGAAATGTTCTAGACTTAAATATGTATCTATTGAGGCCTTATGGAACACTCCGTACGTTAATTTTTTCAATAAATAGGATGAAATATAGTAGCTTTATTTTGATAAAATTCAGCATTTTGGCATACTCAATAAGGTTTTATTGTCTAACACGTGTCTTTTGTGTGTATCTTATTCTATTTCTGCTTCAATACATATTATTCTCACTTTAAATATGTTTGTGTAATAATTGCAATTTTTTATTACATAAAATTAAAACTAATGTTATAAATTTGGCAATAATCAATACAGTAAGTCTAAGAGGAGGAGACAATACAATGAATGCAGTTCTCCTGATAACAATACAATGAATGACTCTAAAAGCCAAGAGTTGATATGGCCTTTCATGTTTATGAATTAAAATAAAGTTAATTTTACTAGCTATTAAGAAAATTTTAAATTTTATGATCATTTGAATTTAAAAAAAGAAATAATACTTTATTGTCTGTTGATACAAACTTAATGTTATGACCAACACTTCTAATTAATACCTGGATATAAAAAATAAAATCAAAACTTTTTAAAAAACAGATAATTATATCAAATATAAGATCTTAAATTTCTGTATATTAGAATTTTATTCAAAAAAATATCAAATGAGAAGTAAGGTGATCAATAATATAACAGATTTATGTTTTAAATCTGTTATGTTTATCTTGTTCTAGGCAGTATATATCTACAGTGTATATTTTCTATAAATAATATACATTAACTTTCTAATTTTTCCGAATTTACATAACCTTATCATTATTTTTATTTTTTTTTACTTCATAATGCAATCAACTGCTTTTGTTTAGAGTGCGGTTTTGAGTAATCATTTGGAAAAGCTTTTAAAGACATCACATAACCTAAGATTCTCAAACACTTAATTCTATTTCTGCATCAATACATATAATTCTCCCTCTTAATTTGTTTGTGTAATAATTGCGATTTGTTTATTAAATATAATTAAAACGAATGTTATAAAGTTGATAAGAATCAATAACACTTTAAGGTGCAGCTTAAAAATTACAAAATAAATAAAGTATTTAGCTTTTTTTTTATATTGAAATAAAATTTTCAATTCAATTTTATTTTTCGATTGATTTTGTTCTATTAAATATTTTTTAATTAACTAAAAAGAATTTTACTTTAATTTTTAAGATTTAGTTTATAAAAATGAAATAAACTTAATATTTAGTCTCAATAGTTAACTTAGAAGAGCAAAAAAAGAAAAACCATTGCCTCCTTTCTACTGTTTGTTGCTTTTTGTTTTTTATTACAAATTTAAAATTTATTAAAAGTGTTAAATTAATGTAGGTTGTATAGTTTCTGACAAATGACATTTTAAAAAAACTTACTATTTAAACAAAAGTGGCATTTTAAATTCTTATCCCTCTCCTCAGCAACCCTTTAACTATTTTAGTACACATTTAATATTTAAAAATTATTGAATTTGATGTGTTGTAAAAATTATTAAATATCTTGATTCAAAAAGTATGATGAAATTGTCACTAAATTGAAAACTTCTTGAATTGAGCTATTCAAACTATGATGACTTCAACACAGAGAGAGAGCAGTGTGCTATGTGTAAAATGTATAACTATATCCCATTACATTAGATTTTATTGCTTACTTTTTTTATTTATTTCTTTTTTTTGTTCTATTTAAATAACAATCTAAGATATAAATTTTTTGTTTTAATTGTATAATGAAGGTAAATGCTCAAATTACATTGTGCAAACATTGCATTATAAGAAAAAATTATTTGGAAAAAATCATTTAAATCTTTATAATGAAATTGTTCATCATTAAGTTTTAGTTTAAGCCTCTTAAGATTTTGTGTTACAGTTAATTTTCTTTCATTTTAGGATTCTGGAAGAGTATAAAAATTCAACATTGCCAATATTGCAACTTTAAAACGCATAAAACAGCAGCCATGAAGAGACATAATCGAACTCACACTGGTGAAAAGCCATTCAAATGTCTTACCTGTGGAAAATGCTTCTCACAAAAGGCTAACATGCAACGCCATGCAATAATTCATTTTTCATAAGAATGATTAGGACTCATTAAGTCAAATGTATCAATGTTATGACCAATTTAAATAAATTTCGTAATTTAAATATAAAGATCGAGGAATTTAGATTCATAGTTGTTATGAAGTGAAATTTGTTTTAAAAATTGCTGTCAGTATTGCAAATTTTGACAATTTTTAAAGCAGCTTTCACTTTGCATCATGAATTTTCCACTCTTAGAAATTTTTTTACATGCGTAGAAAATGCTTCTCACAAAAGGCTAACATGTAACATCATGCAATGATTCATATTTTCATAAGAATGATTGGCATTCATTAAGTCAAATGTATCAATGTCATGACCAACATAAATAAATTTTGTAATTTAACTGTTAAGATGGAGGAATTTAGATTCATAGATCTTCTAACGTAAGATTTGTTTTAAAAATTACTATCAGTACTGCAACTTTAGACTTTTTTAAAAGGGTTATGGATTTTTCACTGTTAGAAACTTTTTTACCTCTGTAGAAAATACCTCTCACAAAAAGTTAATATGAAATTTCATGCAATGATTCATATTTTCAAAAGAGTAATCAAGACTAATATAGAGTGAATCAATGTCATGACTAATAATTTATTTTAATACAAACATTTTAACATATAGGTGCTCTATGTTAAGATTTGTTTCAGTTAAGGCAATCAGTGTTGAAACCTTAAGCAATTTTAATGGCAGCGTTCATGAGGCACTTTTAAATCTAAAGATTCTAGTTTTTAGCCTTTTGTAGGATTTTTGTGTTTTTAAAAAACTGAAGCTTATGTGAGATGGAACTTGGTGAAATTAAAAAAGTTATAAAAAATAATAAGAGAAGTCAGTAACATGAGTTATGACTGTCATTTTATTTGATGTGCTGTTAATTTTAATTTAATCTGTATTACAAATTTATGTTAAAAAGCAAACTACTCTTTATTATCTTATGATGAATAGTTAGACCAAATGAAGTCAAAATACATCTTCGGTAATCATTATAAATCTTCATCACATAATAGGGACATTAATCAGGAATTGTTTTTAAAGTTTATTTTAAATATTTGTTTTTAAAGTATAAAGACCTGTATTTAACTTACTTTAAAAACTTTGGATGCTCTCTTGTGTCTTTGAAAATTTGTCTTGACAATCTTTGTAACTTTCACCCCTGATTGAATCTATATTAAGTTTTATATGTTGCATCTCCCTAAAACCTAATTGAGAGGTTAAATACAAAAACAATTTGTTTATGAGATTGAGAAAAAACTGTAAAAGATAATATGTTTAGTTAGTTTTATTGATCTATTTTACAAACAGGTGGAGACTGACGTTATTCAAGGTAACTCAAAATTCGCCTGGCAATTTCAAAGGGGTGATAAAAAAACTTAGGAAGATAAAAAAAATTATCATTGAGCAATGGGTTCGCAAAGCATATTAAAATGGTGAAAATCGCTAGAAACGCAGTCTCTGAATCTATAGAAAGATATCATAGTGTGGAGTGTCGTTGCTTCGATCAACATCACAAGTACACTTGGAAACTTCAAACCTGTCAGGGTATCATTTTTATGACCTTGAAACTGTGAAATTCCATATGTCAGCTGCTGCCATCTCAACAATTTTTACACTTATTAATGAAATAAATCATTTTATAGTTAGCTAGTTGGTACTATCTTTTGTAGCTTTTTTTTTCCATCATGATTTTGAAACCTGCAGGGGTTTCATGATTTCCGTTCTTTCAACGTGGTTTATGTCACTGTGCTCTTTAGTATGGTTTCACCCCTTTTATGTTTTCATCACATCTCTGAATTTGGCGTTTGAATATCAGTACACCTTGTATCTATGCCTGGTTTTTGTTTGAATAAAGAAAGATATAATTCAGCCTGTCAAAAAAGCATTAAGAAAGGAAAATTTTTAATCAACTGTTTCTTTTACCCCTTCACTTCACTTCGTCTATTCAATGACTCCTCAATTAAATTAGTTAATATTACATATTGCAGATCAGTACATTATCTTTTGTCCAATTGATATTCTTTGAGAAGCTTTTTCTTGAGTTGACTTGAGAATTTTTTGCCTTGTACCAAAAATTTATTGCAGTGAAAAATCAATGTGAAATGACCTGAGTGTCAGTATTAGCTATAAATATTTTAAGCTTATTTTTAGGTTTGAATTTTATTATTGCCATTCTGTAATAGACCTTGTAAACAAATATTTCAAAAATTGTCTCTCAAAATAAATTTTTAAACTAGCTCTTCATGAACTTGGTTGTGTTACTTCACTTTTATTACTTTTTGACTCATAAATTTTAAATTGTCAATATTATAAGATTATATTATGCAAAAACTCGTATACATGATTTCTGTAGTCATAGAGTAGTCAAATTATAATCACAAGGATAAATTGATGACTTTCATACTTTTTTTTACATAATTATGCAGCATTCTTTTAAAATTTAAATAAATTCAAAAAATTTTATTCACAAAATGACCCGAAGGTCACTATCATAACAATTTATAGCTTCTCTAATATTTTTCTTGATTTTATAAAAAAATGCTCTTTGTGTATTATATATCTACAAATTAATGCTTTTTATATTTAGCTAAAGGATTTTGTATTTATGATTATGGAAGTCATGTGGGTTTTGTGTTTTAATTTAGTGGTTAATTTTTTTTTTATAAATAAGAACAAATATGAATTGAACTAAAACTAAACTCAGCGGCACGACAGCTCTAGAGGGCCAGGCCTACTGTGCCCATCTCACCTTGGGCTCTGGGGTGCAGAAGCAGATGTTCCGGTCAGGTGGTCAGCCGAACGCGGAACCCCCAGTGTTTAGTTCCCAAGCATGCTTGGTACTCATTTATCGACCCACTGAAGGGATGAAAGGCTGAGATTACCCTGCCCGGCCCAAATAAATGATATGAATTGAAGCAATGATAATTATCTTGCATTACATTATATATTTCGCATTAAATTTATTATTAAAAATGTTACAATGTGAGATGCTTAATTTTTGATAGGTTTTTAATTGCAATGTTCCTCATGTGACACTATCATGATGCAACAAAAAAATTGTAATTTTTGTTGATTAAATGTTAATGGTGGTTTTTTTAAAGTTTTTTGTGCTTTTAGTTGTTAAATAAATAATTGGTGTGATTACCAAACCATAAAAACATTGCCAAAAATGTCACATTTTCTTATCAACTAATTTTTTCATTTTATTTTATTGTTCTTTACATTTTAGAAATTGTAAATGTGAACCATTTATTTAAAAATATAAAATAATTTGTTTTACACAAATTAATATTTTGTATTTTGAAAGGTAGAATTATATCATTGTCATACTTTCACCTACGAGATAACACATATTCAATTTTTTTGAACCCTTCAAACTTATATATGTATTTAAAAACAATAAGGCAACTTCTATTTCAGCAAAACTTACTAAGATTTTGAGTTATTTTCAATAATAGGCTGTCAATAGTAATAGAAGGACGTGAAACTGCCCTTGTATATTGTTTAAAAAAGTAATCTGTTTATTCAACAAATTCCATTTAAGGCTTGTGATGACTAAAAGTCTTGTTATTACTTATTTGTCTGAAAGCCAATATTTATTTCTTGAATTAGTCATGTTTGCTCAAAACTTTTATATTAGAACAGAATTTTCTAATTCCTTGACAAGTTATGTGTCTAATTCTCCCTTTTTGCCTGATACCATGTTAATTCTGTGTGATACTCAAAAATTGTTGGTTATTATATGATACTAAGGGATTGTTCTTTGTATTAACTTCACTTAAAAGTTTCTCTGCTGATCCCACGCCAGCAGGTGATGAAATTCTTCCTAGTAGTTATATCAGTTAAGTGATTGGACGATGCATATTATCATCCAACTGTTTTTGCAGAAAATATATTTTCTCCTAACAATAACATATTGTTCATTGAAATAAACTTACTGCGAATTTTAAAAACTAAAATAGTTGTTAACGAAAGGCTTTATTTTTTTATCCACTACCACTTTTCAATGATAAATACAGCATCAGCATAACAACCAGTTCTCGGCTGGCAGTGAATGTGTTAAATAAAATAAATAGGTCGAAGAATCTGATCTTTTGTATGGATCTGATATACCTACTGTAATATGATTTATTTAAACAGAATCTGATTTTCAATGTTGCAATTCTAAATTAGTATTGTAGTAATTCATATATTGGGCATGAAAAAAATTTTTTTTTATTTCTTTTAAATAAGGAGCAGAAAACTGTTTACTGTATAATATTTTTCCTTTAAGTGTGTTATATGTTATTTTTAGTTAGACATTTCTGTATCTTTCTAATCAAAATCTTATAATTTGTTGCAGGATTCATCAGAAGGTGCAAGATTCACCGTTGTCCTCTTTGTAGCTACATCACACCGATAAAATCTCATCTGGTTTATCACCTCAGAACTCACTCCGGAGAAAAGCCTTTTTTGTGCGAAACTTGTGGAAAGTGTTTCGCACAAAAAACTAATTTAACTCGACACAAATTAAGTCATAATAATAGCCCAAAGAAGTAATTTGTATTTAAGCCAGGTTAATCGTTTAATTTTCTCTTCTTTTTTTTAGGATGATAAAAAATTTTGCTATGATTGCTTCTAATTCCTATTTATTCAATTTGTAACAAAGATGACTGTTACAGAACTCTCTCATTCCCATGTAGGGCATGAGGGAAAATTTTTCTGTTGTGACAAAAAAAAACTTAAATATAATTTCTTTTAATTTTGCACTGTTATTAAATACTATTTGTAAGTCTGTATGGGAAAAAAATTTGTTTTATCTCTTTAAAAAGTTAAAAAAATCATGATCATGGAGATATAGGATCATGAATCATCATGATCTAATTAACATGATCGCTTTTTCTATGCACTACTTTTATTCAATAGGTTTTATGCATATATTAATTTTAAAAAATAAATGATTAAACTTCTAAATACAATTGAGATTATAATTATTGAGAAATCTTATGATTTGTATCATAAACTAAGAGATCTCTTATTTTTTAAGGAGAATTCTGTAAAATATGGTTTTCAAAAAGTTTTTAAAATTGAAATTGAACCATAATTATTCAGCAGTTTCGAATATGTAAAAAAATACTTGGTTGGTACAATGTTAAGTCTATTGAAGCATAATTTATTTTAAACAGGCAAACCTTAGTTTTAAAGAGCAATACTTTTTTGATTTGAAAACTTTCCATAAACTTCTAACACTCTAGCTTTGCTAATCCCTTCTTGGAAAAATACATTCATCATTGCAAAAACAACTGCAAGTTAGTGTGAGTCATAAATTCAGCAAACATGTGAACTTTTTTCAAAAGCAGAGACGCAAATGATGATGTTTTTACGGCCATGACTCTGTTTCGAAGAGTAATAGCACAACAAGGACAGACGGCTCAAAGCCAAAATATTAACTTCTTTTATACTGTACAGAAATAAAAAATAAAGTTGGTATTTTATTTATAATTTAACAAGTATGTATGAAAATTTTTTGCATTTTTTATGAACACTCTGTTTATCGGGAGCAAAGATTGTGCTTTTTACTAGTGACTTCAACTGTAGTTACTTTTTAAATCTGTTAATCTGTGTTAAATGCATTATTAGTGACACTTTATTAGGATTAACTGCTCAAGTAAAGTAATTTTGATTTTTTTTATCAATTTTGATTACTTTAACTTGAATTTTTTGAATAAATTTGAAAGTTACAAGTTTTTATGAAAGATATTTTAATAAAACTTGACAAAAAATTTTATTTTATATACCTGACTTTCATTTTTGTCTAAGTAATGTGGATTAATTTTTCGAAAAAGTGCAGCTCTTTAACATTCTGTTCATGGTAGGTTTATAATGTTTATTTGGACACTTTTTAATGGATATCAGCAAAAACGTTTTTGAAAAAGTAGTTTGATTTTGTTTCCTTTCTCTTTTTATGTATTGATAATTTGCAGAGAGTTTGAAAAAAATAAAAATAGATTAAGAAGTGATTAATTGTTTCTTGATTCTTACTTTACAAATTATTTTTATGTGTTTCACAATTTCATTTGCATGCATTTCTGTTTATCTAATTTGTTTAATATTTTTAGAAATGCAGAAATTTTCATAATCTCCATTATATATTAATATTTTTGTTTCATATATATTTCATAAGTTTTGAATACCATAATATATTTTATTTTTGTAAAGTATCTAAACACTTACTATTTGTCACTTGAAGTAAGTTTATTTTTTTGCATTCTGTTTTTAGTTTAACCATCAAGAACTAAACCTAAATCAATGTTTCTCTTTAACCATTCATTTGACTATGAATAAAAATATAAAAATGTTCATATTTTTAACATTATTTCATTTATATCAGTCTAATTTGTTTTTTTAAGCAGATTGCAGATTACTCTTAGTATATATATATATACACTACCGGTCAAAAGTTTAGACTCACTTGTATTTATTTCAAAATTTTCAAAAATAGTTAAATGTTTCTGACTTAAACATATAATTTATCAAACATAATCATAAACAAACATCTCAAAACTCTGTTTTCTTTTAAAACTGCTCATTATTTTTTCATTTTGTATCTATTCTGTAGTTGATAACGAAATGAACGAAAGTGCATTCTTAGTTTATAAACAATTTACTTTTCATCTTCTTTCATGGGGTTAATTATAAGTTATGTTCATGTACATGATAAATTTTAAATATTGATATAATAGCCTTAATTAGCCAGAATAACTGGTATATATTAAAAACAAAAATAAATTCTTTTTTATACAATTTATTACAGAAATATGGGTCAAAAACGAGAAATAAGTGTAGAAACATGTGCAGTTATTATTGCACTTCATGCAGAAGGTTATTCAAGTAGACAAATTGCCTCTAAAACTAATGTTTCTCAGACCACTGTTGTCAGAACTTTGCAAAGGGAGAAAGAAGCTGGCCAAAATAAGAGCCGCCAGCGATCAGCGAGACCTAGAATAACGTCCAAACGTGAGGATAAGTTTATCCGCATTCAAAGTAAGCGGCAGCAAACTCAAACAGCACCAGAAATGCGTGAGGAATTGAATGCTACTCGGCAGAAAATTGTGTCAGTATCTACTGTACAACGTCGACTTCGTGACTATGGTTTAAAAGGTTGTGTAGCTGCTAGAAAACCTCTTTTGAAAAAACAAAATAAAGTAAAACGACAGCAATAGGCTAAAAAACATGTTACCTGGTCTTTAGAACAGTGGTCAAAGGTTTTGTTTACGAACGAATCAAAATTTGAATTGTTTGGAAGCAAACGAAGGCAGTATGTTGGTCGTTTATTTGGTGAACGTATGACAAGTCAATGTTTACTACCAACTGTGAAGCATGGTGGATGTTCAGTCATGATTTGGGGATGTTTTGCTGGTGATAAAGTTGAAGATCTTATAAGAATAGAGGGTATTATGGATAAAAAATATTATCACAGAATATTGCAGTGTTACGCTTTTCCATGTGGACAGAGAATCGTTGGTCAAGGATTTGTTTTTCAGCAAGATAACGATCCAAAACATTAATCGAAATTGTGTAGAAACTACATTGCATCAAAAGAAAAGAAAAAAGTTCTGAAATACATGGATTGGCCCCCTCAATCCCCTGATATTAATCCTATTGAGCTATTGTGGGATGAACTCAATAGAAATGTTACAAAAATGAGATGTACCAATCAAATCTTTACTAGTTGCTAGTTTAGAGAATCTTTACTTAGTTGCTGGAACCAGATATCAGCTAGAACCTTACAAAAACTAATAGAAAGAATGCAAAAAATATGTGCTGTTGTGATGAAGGCTAAAGGAGGATATATCGAAGATTGCAAGATTGGACGAAATTCACAAGTTATGCATAAAATTACAGTTCTTACCATATAAGCGTACCTACATTTCTCAAAATAAGGTTAATTTAATGTAATTTTCAGTTTAAAAAAAGTCATTTTTAATTGTTATTTGTCTATTTTTAAAAATTCAAGAGTGAGTCTAAACTTTTGACCGGTAGTGTATATATTTGAACATGCAAAAGTTATAAAAATTAACATGTTAAGTGAAATCTTATCTTCTGAAAACTGACAGAGGTCAGTTGTTTTTTAAAAGCTTATTTAATATCTAGGACTAAGAAATCTATACCCAAATTATTACATAATCAAATAATTAGCATGTAGTAAGTATAAATGCTTCCCAATTTTTTTTTATTGTAATGAAAAGAAAATTTATTGCTTTGACAAAATTTTATATACTAATCTTTCATTTGATAATGTTTTTAAAACAACTTATCAAAACTAATAGATGAAATGTGAAACTTAAGTGTGAAACTTGCTTATTATTAAAACGAAAATTTACAAATTCATAAAAGATGACAATTCACTTAGTAAAATTAGAATTAATAATGTGATTACTTTTTAACTGAAAGTCTTATCTTTGTTTGTTTGAATATTGCTGCATATATTTGTCGAAAATTCCTGAAATATTGAATTTTTGATTATTGTAATAAATAAGGACTTTCTCCATTATTTAAGTATGTTGTTTTTGTAAGTTACTCTGTGAGACACTCTAAATTCCAAAATGTTAACTTAATGCTACAATTGTTAGTCTTAACTATCTTCTACAATTAATATAAATTCCACTGACCCTAATAAGAATTTTATTTATTTATATTTTTTAACTGGACACACTACCATCTTTGTTCCAGATCCTCTAATTTAGTGTTGTTTTAATTAAAATGTTACTGAAGGTTTAATTAATTCTCTCAAAAAAAGTAACTTGATAACTGAATTTTGTTCCATAAAAATTAGTGACTTTAACGCTATGGTTTTAACTTTTCTTATTAAGATATAGACACCAATATCTTCATTTTTTTATTAATTTAATTATAAATTCTTTAAATTATAACTTTTAAATTCTTTTTGATTTGGTAATGAAAATTATCTGCAATTAAATAGTATAAACATTATAAAGTATTTCAATTATAATGAGGCATAACGTTCATTGTTCTCTTATGTTATAATAATATGAAGTCTATCACAATATCATTGTGCAATGTAAAAATCATGATGGGGAGGATATTTTTAATACAAATACTTTTCATACTGCAATACTTTTTCATTCCTATATTTATTTAATTTAATTATAATTCATGAATAAATCACTTTATCTAATTTTTTTAAATCAATAAAAAATAATATAAAAAGTTTGTTTATTTTTCATTTGGTATTAATTTTAATTGCTGTTAAGTGTGTTTTGTTATTATGAATTCAACTCGTTTGTCATAGTTTTTTTAAGCAAATGTAAAAATAGCTTAATGTTGCCTTTTTTTAATAATAACTGTCATTATACTCTTTAATAACATTGAATTTTAAGTTTTTAAAATTAAGTGTTTAATTAGTTGTAATAAATTTAAGGAATTCAATATTTCATTGACTTTGGCAATGATCATACTTATTTAATGCGCTTTCTTTTCAGCAAAAATATTTTTAATTATTTAAAGCACTTAATTTTTTTATTGTAACTGGTTAGTATACTTTATAATAAACACATAAATGCTGTATAAACCATCATCAGCATTTACAAATTCATCTCGTCATTTACTGTATTTCTTTGGAATATAAATGCTTATTAGTTTCTTTTTGGAATCGAACGTCTGATTAAAATTATGCATAAAATTCTATTGGGATTATATACATTATAAAAATAATGCATGCATATTCAAGTTTTATCAAGATTATAGGCATTGCTAAAATTATGCATGCAAATTGAAATTTTATCAGAATTATTTACATTGTAAAAGTCATGCATTCATTTTGAAATTTTATCGGGATTATATACATTGTAAAAATTATGTATGCATATTTAAATATTATTGTTTAAATTATGCATGCTTTAAAAATTGAATAATATACATTAAATAAATTTTTTTTCATCAATTTCAGAATTTACTAAATTTTTCAAGATTCATCAGTGTTACTATTGTGATTACAACACTAGAGTAAAGTCTCACCTAATGGATCACATTCGAACTCACTCTGGAGAAAAACCTTTCATATGCGAGACTTGTGGAAAGTGTTTCTCAAGAAAGTCCAATATGTTGCGACATAAAATAACACACATCAGCATTGTGTATTCATAAACTCTTTTTATTTTTAAATTGCCATTTTAATCATTGCCTAATTCGTGAAAAAAAGTTGGTGAAGTTTTTAATAGGAGTTGATTATTCATCATGTATTTTTTTTTATAATATTGAACATTATTTTTAAAATAACTGAAAGTGTGTGAGTGTAGTGGCAACTGTATAAAACTTACTTAAGTTAAAATTGACAAATATGTAAATAGGATTTGATTTTTCATCACATATTTTTTATAATGTAAACATTGTTTGAATAATAATTAAAATTGAGTACGGTGACAACTATATAAAGTTCCTTAGAAGCTTCATATATAAGCAACTATATAATGCCTGGTTGGAGATTTACTCTTTTTCCATGATTCTTAGAACTTCCGTGATAGAAGGTGCTTGGTTTGATTCTAGTTTGGCGCCATCAAAATTCAACTCTTATGCACTCCTCCACACATGTAACGCCGTCACTCTTTGATAGATGGCATCACTACATTTTTTGCCTCCCTACGCAGTTTGCTTTGACATGCAAATCTAATCGACGGAGTCTCAATAAAAGTCAAGGCCAGAACTGTACTGGAAGAGCAACTGCACTCACGACCGTGTGGCATCTCAATCAATAGAAAAGCTCACTACTGTTAACAAAGCTAACTACTGATAAGTTGTTACAGGGAGAAGTGTGCCATGACAACTATGTAAAGTTTCCTAAAACATGCTGTTTGGGATTTCACACCCTTTTTCAGCATTACTAATAATTCAGTTGCAGACTTAATGGATCCTGGTTGGATCCCAGTTACTGCCAAAGAATTTCCCCTAAGCACTGCTTCACACGAGAAAATTACTTGTTTTGTGAATTATTGTTTCATGGATTGTGTTTTTATACAGTAGAGGGTATTGTCATCTCTCATCCTCTAGTTTTGTATCCGTCCTGAGGAATTTAGACTTATTAATTCTCTTTGTGTGTGACAATTAAATTTACTGTATAAGTTTGCAAAAACTTAAAACTTGTTCTGACATTTCCATTAGATTTTATTTTAGTATTTGAAGGAAACTGCCTTTACTTTAAGCAATAAAAATATTTTAATCATAATTGACTTTTTACTATGTCCTGAAATTAAATATTTCAGTGCGACTTTACATGCTTTTAACTCATCTTTCTTTTTAAGACTCAACCATTTTACATATCCCTGCAATTAATCACTTCACATACATTAGTTTTCTAAAATATTAAAGTAATAACTTAATGCTGACGTTTTTAATTTTTTCAACAAGTGTCACAAAATATTAAATTGTTTCTTGAATAGCACCTCTTGATAAATGCTTTTTGGAATCATTTTCTAATTGTACATCTTATTGAAATTATGCATGTATATTGAAATTTTATCGAGATTACATACATTGTTAAAATTAGGCATGTATATTTTATTTTTATATTTTATAACTGCCGTTGAACAACCGACCCAATTTTGAGTTTACCACTACTAATGTTCAACTCCATAGCCTTGTAAATTTGAACCAATCCAGAATACATGGAAACTCATGGATCAATACTCGCAGAGGTATGATTTGTTATAGGAACATGGAAGACTTAGTGATTCGGCAGATTTAACTTGCATCAGTCACCATTTACTACACGGGAAGTCTTTGACTGACGGGGATAGGGCCCAATGCCCTACCAACCAGGATATCCAAACATTTTATCGGGATTACATACATTGCTAAAATTATGCATATTGAAATTTTATCGGGATTATATACATGGTAAAAATTATTTATGCGTAGTAAAATTTTTTTGGGATTATATTACATTGTTAAAACTATGCACTTTGTTAGGTTTATTGGAAATTTTCATTTAATTCTTTACATCACCACTAACTTTCACACCAGGTTTCACCTTGATAGTTGTTTAGAGACAAATGTGTTTGAGAAGAAATTTCACTATTACATGAAATATTTTTTCCTTGTGAATACATTAACAATTGACAATTGGGTTAGAAAAAAAAATCAAATTTATGAAATACCTTACTAAATAAATTACTTTTTTTCAAACAAACTAAAATTGATAGAGTCCATTCAAATTCTANCTCACAAATACATTAACAATTGACAATTGGGTTAGAAAAAAAAATCAAATTTATGAAATACCTTACTAAATAAATTACTTTTTTTCAAACAAACTAAAATTGATAGAGTCCATTCAAATTCTATCTTACAGCAGATTATTTCATGTTCTTAAATTTGAAATTAAAAAAAATTTTCACAACTCTATCACCATTTTCCTCTACAATCATCAAATCGCCTACTTTTCTTATTTTGTTTGCTGTTATTAAATTTTACTTTAAAATTTATATTTCAATGTCATCATGGCAGTGAACGAAAGAAATGTTTTTTTATTTTTATGGGTAATTTAGTGTAAATATAATCGAGAAAATTTTTTTATATGTTAAACATGTTTAAAAAGTTATACATGAAAGAATGACCTGAAACTCTACGGGTTAATGCATGTTAAAACATTTCTCTGAGTATTTTATTTTTTATGTTATAAATATTCATTTACGCATAAAGCCGTGAATTAAATACCTAATTTATTGAAAAAGGGGTAACCGTAGATTAAAGGGAAAGTAGAATCTCAAATATCTGAATCAATTGAGATCACATCTACATTTGATAATCAGGAGTTTAGAACATAAAAACTCTTCATTTTGAAGATCTACTGTTATTGTTTACTGTAAAAAAAATTCAGTAATTGCTTATATTAACTTATAACACTATATTAGCTATTTAAAAAATTCTAGCCAAGGACTACAAAGGCCTTGTTTCCTTTTTAGAAAAATTTTGGCACTATCTACAGAAGTGATTATAAGTATATATGTTACCGTGAATGACCGAAATCAACAGAATGTAGACTTTCACCGCTGAATGTCAACAATTACATAGTCGCTTTGGTGAATATCCGAAATATTTGTTATATCCTATTTGATATTAATTTATTCGTTGGTATCATTATATTTATTCGATATTTTAATATCTGCGGAGGATAGATTAGGAGGAACATCAGTGTTCGGAGTATCAGTTAAATGCATACTGGTCAGTGGCACTTGACCTTAAAAAAAAAACATTTATTTAGGGCATGCCAGGCAAATGTATACCAGGAAGTGGCACTGAACCTTAAAAAAACGTTGATGTTAGGCATACCGGGCAGTGGCACATAACTAGACCTAGTATATGTTTCGGACATTTACCAAAGTTGCTGTGATTGTCAACATTTACAGGTGGAAGTCAGCAACTACCAATTTCAGGCATTCACAGTAGCATATATATTTTTAACTACATATCCCATTTCAATCTCTAGAACACATCTTTTGAAATTTATTACATCCCCTAAATTTCATTTTTCAAATTTGAATCTTTTAAACGTTTTTGAAAGCTAGTAACAAAAGTTATTCATTGTGTGATATCTTAATGTTTCTTTGAAAACTTTCTCATTTCTGTTTGTGGTTATTAAATGTTGCTTTAATATTTCAGAACTCGCCCGAATCCTAAAGATTCACCAGTGCAATTTTTGTAATTATGTGAGTGAATGGAAAGGTAATTTGGATAGGCACATTCAGTATAAACATGTTCGGGAAAAACCATTCGCTTGTGAGAAATGTGGAAAAAGCTTTACACGAAAGGACGATTTAAAACGTCATGATGTGACACACATCTTGAAAGCATATCGCTGAAGGACTTGCCAACGGACTGTTTCAAAAATGTTCATACTGCACTCAATTCTTAAAATGCTGAAGCTGCATCAAAAAAACATCTCTACTTGTGTAATTTAGTGTGGAAAATGTGGATATAAAAAACACTTTTATACAAAATCACTTAATACTTTTGTTAAAAGGTGGCCTACGTTGACTTATCTTTGTGTTTCATGGATGCCAATTACTACTGCTTTATTTTATCTGTTTAAGAAGTTAATTAATAAGATTGTATAAAAGTGTTATTATTAAATTGAAGATAAACTTTTATGAACTATGCTTGTTAATAAAATTAAAGAGTAAATTGGATAGTTAATCATGATTGTTCAAAAGAATGTATTTAACTTTTCTGGGACTGAAGCCACATTTATGCTTTCCTGCATCACACCAACCGAGTATAATCATAGAGTTGAGAGGAGTAGGTATAACAACTGAAAATTGAAGCCATACATCTTGGAGAACATACTTTCGACATTATATCGCCTCCCCTTTACTCTTTTTTCACGTTATATCAACTCCTCTCTCTTAATGTGTAATTAACTGAAAAATACACCTCCTCCCCTCCAGACTTAGATAAAATGAAAACCTTCTGTAAACACAAAATTTTAACTGAAAAATTCTCTATGAGCAATTTATTTACTCTTGTTACTGGTTTCAACTATTTTGCAAATTTGTTTGAAAATTTATTTACTCTTGTTACTGGTTTCAACTATTTTGCAAATTTGTTTGAAAATTACTAATTTTTTTAAAAAGTGTAGTGTTGCTACAACTTTAATTTTTATAAAACTCTATATTGATACATGCCACCATACATTTCTTTAAATTTGGCAGTTTTCTAAAATTGACAGCATGTAATATGTGAATTCTGACCGTTTTTTTAATAAGACATATTTTTAAAAAAATTCTGCAATGGTGATAAATTTTGTGTGAATAGAGTTCGCATGTTCACTTATATAATGCATACCTATAATATTGTGTATATCATTAAGGAAAAACTGTGATAAAACTTTATTCCTCTTATAAATATTTTCAAAATAAAGTAGTCTTTTATTAATTAATATGCTCACAATTATTTTTATATGCTTTATTTTCTTGTTTTTATGTACTTTATTATTTATGAAGTTAGGGTTCCATAGATGAAAATAATTGAAGCTGATATCATTTTTTTTTAAACTGATGATTATTTTTTACTATGAAATCAGTCATTTGCTGTTTGGAGGGGAGTTAATAAGTTTGACAAAGTATTATGATAAATGGGAAGAGAATACATTT